CCGGGGGGGGGGGGGGGCACTTTCAGAATTTCAAAGTATATATTGCCGATCTAATAATCTGTAATCCTCGAAACTCGTAGTGTAACTGACCTATGCATTTTTCCTTAAAGTATGCCGTGAACGAAGTAAAAACGGAAAGGAGAGCGATAATTTTTTGTTTTTTTTCGCTCTTCGTGTCTATTCGACGTCTTTTGCGGGATGAAGATATTTTAAAGCAGAAGGAATTTGTATGAAAAGTGCCCCTTTTTTGGATAACTCGAATAGTTCGTTCTAATTTGGTCCAAATAAAACCATATGTCAAAAAAATCCTGAATTTAAAGTTTTAGCTTGAGTTCGAAGCTCGTTTTGGCAATACAGCATCGTAAAGTTTACATTTTTTACCATTGAAAAAAGATATAATATTTTGAAAAGCCTCAGTTGATGATACAACTCTAAATTGATCTTGTCTTACTCTCTAAGGCACAGTATCATCAGTTAATGTTACTGTGCCTCCAAAAGTAAAAAAGGATAAACTTAAGTTGTACTTTCAACATCGAACTTTAAAATATTAGTATTTTTCAGTCACATAAAATTGTGCACTTTGCAACGCTGTATTGCCAAAACGAGCTTTGTACTCAGCCTGCAACTTTCAGCGGTGGCTTGTCTCGTCAGAGGGTTTTGCTTAGGCTAGGGGCGTGAATTATTTTCGAGACCATATTGAGGAAGTGCCTTGAAAATCGTGGATTCCGAAGATTTTCAGATGCTCGACTGTAATAGGACAATACGATTTTGATATGCGTATTCATGAATTAAACTAAATTCCGACCAGTGCGATATGTCAACATTTTTTACTTAGCGCGTTGCAGAAATTTCGGGGGCTACCTGAAAAATTGTGGCGGCCTAGAACAATCCAGGGATGCAGAAAATGCCGCATCAAGCGCCCAGGCAGGTGCGTGAAAATGTGGAAGGAGGGAACATTTTGAGGGACCAAAAGTTGAAAATCACAGGAAAACCGAAGAAAAATGTCATCTTTTTTTAGATTGGCGGGAAATTCTGTGGGAAACCGATGAGGAAAATGTGGAAAGCCGGCTGGCGGGCGCTTGAAAATGTGGAAGATTCTGCACCCTTGGAACAATCTGGATACCTGAGGCCATCTTCGAACAAAATCCCTGAGTTTCCCGAGAAGGGCACGGAAAAACCCTCGTTTTGACAGGCTATTTCGACTGGGTTTAGCTCGGCAGAAATTTCCGAACCTCTGTATCCACTACCTATTATCCCTCCATAAAAATGCCCGGCTTCCTCGACGCGACAATCGGATCCCGGAGTGGGACCTTGAGACGGAGTCTTGTCCCTGCCGGTCAATTAAACGTCCTCCGACCTTTTCGAGACGATTCGTTGGGCGGCATGGGCAGCGGCCGCGTCGCGTCGCCCGAAAAGACGCCCAAATGCCGCCCGGGCCGCGTCAACGGAAGCTTCACAATGGTCACTTCGTCAAAAATAGAATTTAATCAAGTGCCCGCGCAATTTCGGTGCGCCCCGGTTGCCGAACTTGCCTGGCGCCAGTCCCCACTAGCACAATAAAATAAAAATGAAAAATTAGGTATGAAAATATGAATTAATAAATGGAGATGTTGCATGTGTGAGGAATTTGCGATTTGACTGTTGCTTATAATGTGAAAGTTCGTGAGAAACACGATTGTGCCACTGGTTTTCTCTGAAATCAATTCCCAAGCTCAAAAACAGCTCTCAAGTTGAGGCCAAAATGGAGGGGATATCCCACCCTACCCTGAGAGTCCACCTCTACATCAAAACAAACTCTCCATGCACAGATAGGGAGCAAATACATTGACAGGGCTGCCACTTTATTTGGGGACTCCAAAACTGAAAACACGGCAACCCTGCTAATGTATTTGCTCCCTATCTTTGCACGGAGAGTTTGTTTTGATGTAGAGGTGGACTCTCAGGGTAGGATGGGATATCCCCTCCATTTTGGCCTCAACTTGAGAGCTTTTTTTGAGCTTGGGAGTTGGTTTCAGAAAAAACCAGCAGCACCACCGTGTTTCTCGCGAACTTTTACATATGAATCAACAGTCAAATAGCAAATTCCTCACACATGCAACATCTCCATTAAAATATCAGATTATAGGTACAGATTAAAATATACAAATAATAAAATAAACTGAAAAGGGAACACCGTGTGAAACGTTTTACGTTAAGCACATGCACAAAATCCAGTTCACTCTTCCAAATTATTTTCTCCCTTTGTCACAAATCATGTACACCTACGTAAAATTCTTGATTTCTGATTTTCTCCAAAGATTTATTTTAAAACTTTCAAATCTATATGTAAAATTAATTTTTTTTTGTTGCCATTTTGCAAGTTGTGCTCAGTGCTCCTAGGGGCGTTTCAGGGATGCAGAATCTTCCATAAGCTTCCACGTTTTCACGCGCCCGTTGGCCAGCTTTTCACATTTTCTCATCGATTTTCCATAATATTTCCCACCCATAAGATACAAGATGACGTTTTTCTTCTGTTTTCCTTTGATTTTCCACTTTTCACCCCTCAAAATGTCCCCTTCTCCCACATTTTTACGCGCCCAGGGGGCCGCGTGATCGAGTATTTTCTGCACTCCTTGGGCGTTTCAGCCCTCACTTAAAAAATATCACTAAAATACGCTTGTGACATGCTTTTCATTACATTTGATTTTAGTATAGAGTGAGAAGCGTGTCTCTTTGAAAAATCCTCGAATTTATTGAATCTCATTTGGAATTTTTGCGTCTTCTACTATCCTCCAGCTTCATAAAATTGTTCTAACTGCCTTGAGAGCCTCTGATTCCATGCTTGAAGTTTTGAAATTCGTACGATTCTTGTATTTTATCAGTCTTTTTAATGTTACTTTGACTTTTTGTTTGTTTACAGGAGTCGGTGGTTCTCGTCGAGTTTTGGCCTTAATGCGCCGTTACCTACCTTGAGGTTGAGGCTACCTCGCTTTCTTCGCGCTCTCGGACACCCTTGATTTCAAGACCAAGGTAGACCAATTGCAGTGCCCTACTGCTTTTACATCAAAGACAGTTTTTTCTCCAGAAATTTTATAAATATGTTCTCGATTACTTTCAAGAACGGAATTCTATGTATGGTTTTTTTAAATTAAAAACTCGCCTCATTTACTTACGCCTTTGTTTGATTAGCTTCAGACTTCGAAAATGCTTGTTCTGTCGAAAAGGAACTTATCGATGGTGAAACTACCAGACCACGTATCTCGTTTGGGATGTTCAAAAATCTCCGCTCCCATTTTATTTTAGTGAAGGGGAACAAACCAATACCATCCTTTGAAGTTTTCACAGATTTTTCTTCACTTTGAGAGGAAAAAATCACGGAAGTTTTCAAGATTTGACGTTAAGTATAGTTTTCCATCTAAAAAATAAAGTTTGACAGGAAGTTCACGACGTCGCAAATCGAGATACATAGTCTGGTAGTTTCATCGTCGAAATTTAATTACTTTCCGACCTATCAGAGGCCAGAATTATCAAAATGTGATGAAATTCCTACTTATTTAAGTTTTTCAATTTAAAAGTTGGAATTTACTGAAATAAATTTTTAACTATAGCTTCACTTTATCCTGAGATTGCTAGGGTCATCAGCATTACAAAGCAATTTTACCCGATTCTATCATCAATAATAATTGACACTTACAACTATATAATGGGACTTCTAAGCCCGATGGTATAATGTGATAAATTGCTTACTAATATAATCACAAACATTCTGGTACAAGGAAACTATTAAAGCAGTTCATTTCTGTAGTGCATAATTATAAAAAACGAAATACATGCCACCTTATGTATATCATGGATTTTTTAATATTTTTTAAGTACATGAGATGTCGCGAAGAGCACCGATTGCGGGTTGTAGATCACAAAGATATACCTATGTCATTTGAATGCGTTTGTATGTGTGTGCGTGTTTATATATATTGTATATATATTATGCATGGTTAATATATAGGCACCCCAACCATTTAAAATGTTTCCAATCCATCAAGTGAAACATTGTCACTGACTTAAAGGAACTAATAATTCTTTTGTAATCTGTAAAGTAAGCACAAGTACATGCCTCTCTCTCCTCTTGCAGATGGCTGACAAAACGAAGAGAGGCTCCAAGTTTTCACGTTTGCTGCGAAAAAGGGTTCCAATCTTGTCATGGATGCCATCTTATTCAACAGACAAAGGCATTAGTGATCTCATCGCTGGTGTCACTGTTGGCCTCACTGTCATGCCACAAAGTTTGGCATATGCCACGCTTGCCGGATTAGAACCTCAGGTAGCTATTTTTCAATCGTTGTTGCCTCTCTTCATGTGAGAAGAAAATGTCGGAATTTGAAAAATAGCAGAATTGAACGGCTTATTTGGAGAAGGGTGTAACCCTCAAAAATCAAGTTTTGAGAAAACTCAAGGAGACTCGATCTCTTTGACAATTCTTCATCTTGTTCAAAAAAATCCTCTGATGCCCTACATACTATCTTTTTTAAGACCACACCCATACGAGGATGGTCGGTGGAAGTAGGCAAGAAATAAAAATTGTTAAAACTTTGGTGGATACGCTTTTTTCCACAAAATCGCTTAGTAGGTACCCACTGCAATTTTTAGCAGTAGGTTGTATGACTGTTAAAGAGCATGGGTATTAGAAGACAGTATTAAAAGTCATTTGTTGTGCTACTAATCATGGTTTTTATCTTTGATTAGCGCCCTGCATTGGAATATAGTTAAAAAAAAAAAAAAAAAAAAAAAAAAAAAAAAAATTTCTGTCCATTAAAAATATGTTACAGAATTCTCTTATAAAGTGCACTCCACTTGAAATTATACAACTTATGGTTATTTAAGAAATATTCTCTGATGATACCAGTAAACTGTTATTTCAACGTCAGCTTATTATTCAACATAGCACTCCTTTGTCAAAATACCTGTTACATAAGTAATAAGTGTAAATATGAAGAAAAAATAAATGAATATGCTCCCAAAGAAAATAGTGGAAAAATGACCGTATTTTTTTTTAAAATAAGTTCAAGTAAATCTACAGCTGATTATAACCCAGATAGTCTCAGTATCAAGCAACATCATCTCAAATTTTATCAATCTCATGGAGGATATAATGTATAAACCCAAATGTGAACTAGTGGCAAAACTAGCATCTGATCGTTGCTAAATTGAATTTCAGTTTGGTGCAAAATGGGGTGTTTCCATTCCCACTTATGTCCGCACTCTTGCCAACTTCCTTTGCTCTTGAGGAAAGTCAATGAAGTCAGTTTACTGAGTCCGACAAGAAAATGCAGTGAAAAATTTTGGATATTGTACAGTTTTAACTGAGGAGAATAATGAAACGTGAGTGCCTAAGCTATATTAAGCCTATTTAAGTTCTGACATTAGCTCCTAGGTGGTCAAAAAAGAAGTGACACTCACTGAATTATGAGTTACTTTGCTTTATTGCATTGAGGGATTATTCTGCACCATTGCAACTGCCACTGGTTATTTTTCACCACGACGTCAGATAGCGCTCTTTACATTTGATGTTTCCTACTTTTACTTCGCATAGATCTTCATTCATTTTTTTTCAAGGATCACTTTGTATTTATTTCCTCCTATTATGAATCAATAAGCATTTGTTGGCTTTATAAGAGGTAGGGAAAATGCTCTGTATTGTGATTCAAAATGTTGTAAGCATTTTTGAATGTTTTGAATTTTTTCTTGATAATAGTAGGTATCTTTTTCAGAGATTTTTGTCAAGCTGTCGGTGTTATTCTGATCTTTCTATATCTTTTTTGAAAGATTTCTACCGAGAGAAAAACTGCTTATACCGATGTAGTGCCCTTGGGCAGTGCTAGTGACCCCTCAAGTGTCTCAAACTAGAATTAAGCTTAATATTTCAATTTACATTGTGTATGTGAGTATTTAGATAGTGAGACTTTCAAATTGTAAAGGAGGGGTACCTATCAACGAGAACCATTTTTGGGCCCAATCTAGCTAAATTTTCTCAACTTGACGAGTTTTTGCTCATTGAAGGTCTATATTCAAAGGAATGAATCATGATGTGGTTAATGCCGGTTTCTTTTTCTAGTGTAGCAGCGGCCTAAACATGAGCCTGAGGGCCTATTTTCGCAAAAAATGCAGATTTTATGGCGTGGGGGAGTCTTTAGAGTTTGAGTTTTGTTCATCAAAATAGTTCTGTTAATAATTCTTTCTCTGCAGACCAAGGCCTGTTTGAGCAAGGACGGTTGGATACGTCCAATTTAGATCGACAGAGACTTCGCGGCTCCATCCATGCATTTTCCATTTCATTCATTTTTTTCAATTCAAACCTTCAACGTATACTGGCATTTCAACTTTTTATTAAGGTTTATCTACAGCTGCGTGAAGTAAGAAATTTCTCCGCGCAGGGGGCGCCACCGCTGTGTTTTAGAGTCCGTACAGCTCCACATGAGTCATTGAGCTTTTATAAAAGTTGAAGGAATTTCTGTTTAAATCGAAGAGTTATAAGTTCTAGCCATAACATTCTTCTTCCTATTGACCCTAAAAACAACGTGAAAAGTCATTTCTGAAGCTCTGCAATTTGATCCCAGAAAAAAGTAGGGTTAAGCATGATGACCTTGATGCAACCAATCGCGCTTGATCGCTCTTAGCAGTTGGCAGATATCTCTCTCCCACCGTGAGCTGTCTCTCTCGCACTTACAGATATCCCGTAAGAGAAACTGGGATCAATTTATAGCTTTTATTATTAGACTTTCAAAGCTGGCGTTTGTTTCTAAGGATTCCAGACGTATGCTGCTAGAACTTATGAGTCTTAGAATTTAAGATACCTATTGTGATATTTAAATAATCACTGATTTCGGAGTCGGATTTTAGCAGCGCGACGTGGTGGATTTTTTCGGAACTACAGCTGAAGATTAACCTTAAATTCCCGCTAACATTTTCGAGAGGAATACAATTTTTGTGAGGATTAAAGTTTGGAGATGAAACTAACCAATGGCAAACCGTTGGTCACATTCACTTAAAAAGCCGATTAGAGATGAAGCTAAATCGCCAACAAGCTACGTGTTTGCTCCCATTCGTTTTCTATAGAGCATTTGCTTGTCTTATTTAAATTCATTTGTGCCGAAAAAAAGTCCATCTGTGTCAAAATTCAAGGGAAAATGTGCATATTTTTAAGGGGCAGCTCTAGTAGTACACAAGCTGTTTATGGGAGCTGTCTGAGCTTCCCTCACTGAATCCCACTGGAGGGGGGGGGGGCTGATAGTGGTCAAACTCAGGCTTACTAGGTAAGCCTTTCATTTTAGGAAATAATTAAGTATATTTTCTAAGATGAAGAATTTTTTCAGCTATTTTTCAGGCTCTAGCCGTTATACCTATACGGAACATTAAGGGAGGAGGTTATGGCTAGTCTTACATGATTCAAAAGAGAGGATAAGGGTTGTCTCATAGGTGCCTTTCAAAGGAGAGGGATGTTCCTTTAAAGTTGACTAAAAGTTCAAATCACTAATTTGCCTTTTACACTACAAACTATTACTTCTTGGTTTTTGAAATGATAATAAATTTCAAAGTGAAAATTACTCATAACAATGCTCGTTCTTTTTATTTTTTTCAGTTTGGCCTGTACTCGGCTTTCATCGGATGCTTAGTGTACATTGTGTTCGGCAGCTGTAAAGATATCACAATAGGACCTACAGCTTTAATGTCATTGATGACTTACCAGCAAGTCTATGGGCGAAACTCAGACTTTGCAGTCCTGCTATGCTTTCTCACTGGTTGTGTTCAGATTTTGATGGGTATATTACATCTAGGTAAGCAATCAGAATTTGATCAAGTTGTGTTTAAGTAATGTCATGAAAACTGAGAAATATCTAATTTTTTTATCCCATACCATGTACAGAGTATGTAAAATGTAAAATTAGGTATCCACTTGATTTTCTCTGACATTATCATTTTTTTTTTATTCAAAGTCAGGTAAAATCTTTACAGCACACCTACAGGACTTCCATGATAATATTTCTTAAGATGTCAAGAGGTTTTATTTGTTTATTGTCGTCTCGGAGGCTATGAGCACTTTAGTTGTTTTTTTTTTTTCAAATGGATGTTTGAGCATGTTTCCTTTTAGAAGTAACCAACGTTAACTCCTTAAAATTAAAAACTAGGCACAGCTGTCTCCTGAGAAGAAGGAAAATCAAGGTAGAATACTTATTACTGACATGAAATGCAGTCATTGAGCTTCCCAACATCATAATATTTGTCAGGAATTAACTTTTAGATCTTGAAAAATATCATTCTAAGATGAAAGGAAAACAAGGTTTCTCCTTTCCACGCAGAATTTTTTTTCATTGTGACAACGTACTCTCATGCTCTATATATATTTTTGCAGGTGTTTTGATAGACTTCATATCCATTCCTGTAACAGTTGGGTTCACTTCAGCAACCTCAGTCATTATTGCGTGCTCACAGCTGAAAGGCCTTCTTGGCTTGGAATTCACATCTGCTGGTTTTCTAGACACCCTTCAGAAGGTATACAATCACATTGGCGAAACACGACTGGAGGATACAACGCTTGGCATTGTATGCATTTCAATTTTGATTCTCTTGCGCAAAATGAAAGAAGCAAACCTCGACCACTTGAAATTGACGAAAAATCAGAAAACAGCCTTGAAACGATTCTTGTGGATTGTATCCACATCCAGAAACGCTCTAGTCGTCATAGTTTCCTCTATTATTGGCTACATGTACTATAATGAATCTGAGAGAACCTCAATTGTTATATTGACTGGAAAAGTCAAATCAGGGTTGCCAGATTTGAAACCGCCCCCTTTTACCACAAATTTGAATGGAATAAACTTGTCCTTTTCAGACATGTGTACTGAGTTGGGTTCATCTATCCTTCTAGTTCCAATTATTGGTGTTTTGGGTAATGTCGCGATTGCAAAAGCTTTCTCAAGTGGGGACTCGGTAGATGCAACCCAGGAGCTTTACACCATAGGCCTGGCTAATATCGCTGGTTCGTTTCTGTCATCGTATCCAGTGACAGGATCTTTTTCACGGTCTGCCGTAAACCATGCATCTGGAGTGCAAACACCTTTCGGTGGATTTTACACAGGTGCTTTGATCATTCTAGCTTTAAGCCTGCTCACGCCTTATTTCAATTACATACCAAAAGCCTCGTTAGCTGCAGTCATTATATGTGCAGTCATTTATATGATAGAATACGAAGTTATTAAACCCATGTGGCAGTCAAGTAGAACAGACTTAATTCCAACTTTTGCAACGTTTGTCATGTGCCTCATCTTCGGTGTAGAATATGGTATTTTGTTTGGCGTTTTTATCAACATCATTATATTGCTATACACATCAGCAAGACCTGTTGTCCATGTGGAGAAAAGTCAGAGTAGTTCTGGGCATGAGTACCTACTAATTCAGCCAGGAAATAACATCTACTTTCCTGCTGTTGATTTTGTTCGGTTGAACGTTTGTAGAATTGCCATCAAACAAGGCTACTCAAAATTACCCGTTGTCATAGACTGTCGCTATATTCAAGGTGCAGATTTTACTGCGGCAAAAGGTATTTACTCTCTGATAAGCGAGTTTAACAAGCGATCGCAGCCAATTTACTTTTTAAACCCAAGCCCAAATATCTTGAATGTTTTCAAAGGAGTCTGTTTTGATGCCTTCAAATCTGTCAGTTCGCAGCAAGAGCTCGATCATGTGTTGGCAAATATATCTAGTACATCAACAGAGCCTTGTGAACTGAAAGAGGTGAAAACCGTCAATGGTGTTTGTGAGATAGAAAGTAAAGGCAATACTGATGCAGCAAGTGAGGTCCCTCTCTTGGAAGATTCGCTCAAACCACAAATTGTCAAAACCTCGTGAGGGCTTACTAGTTGGAATCAGGTGTAAAAATTGTAATTTTTGTCTACATGACCAGTTAAGGTGCTAAGATCTGTAACTAAGTTGCCTTTATTCAGGGGTTCACATTCATTTATACGTCCAATTCTACTCAAACATTTTGCCCATGCATTTTTTAAGTATAGGCACTTCCTGTATTTATTGTTTCCTAGCCGGAGATGCAATAAAATAACTTGCTAAAGGCCTTGGAGGTATATTATCAGGCTCATTGTTGGAAATTTTTGATGAAAACTTGAGGGGTTTGGAGGACAACTGACAGAGTGCACAAGTGCAATTTTTGAAAAAATGGAAATATTCATAAACTCCACTAAAACTAGTTTGAAAGTATATTCTGTGAGAAATTCACAACTAAAATCCAACTTTAAAGCATCAAATAGTGAGTTTAAACTTTCTTTTTACCACAAGGCCTCATGTAATTTTGAAACTTTTAACATGTATTTCTTGAAATAGCAAAAATTGCACTTATGCGCCTTGTCCTCCAAGCCCCCCAATTGTAAGTCAGTCTATCCATTGACTCAACACAACTAATAATTTTGTCAGGCGCATGTATTGAAAAAGATCTCAAATGAAAAAATAAGTATTTTGAATAGGTATTCAATTGAAAAAATATGTATTTAAATAGGTATTTAAATGGAAAAGCAGAAATTTATAAGCATGTGCAACCTGGAGATGATCTAGTTCAAATTTTCCCGAGGGAAGATTATGCCCTTCCCCTTTCTCCCCCAAAAAATGGAAATCATTCTTCCAGACTTTTTCAAATTTTTTTGACATTAAAGGTATGCATCCAGGAATGACTTATAAAATTAAATCATTATTTCATTCTTTCTCTAACTGTACCTACAAAGCCTTGGCTTTCTTCAATTCCAAAACTTTCATCATGTAAAGTGTGTTAAGATTGAAAAGATTTTCTGTTTTATCTTGCTTTAGCATTGAAAATTTTGTTATTTGACTTGTCGTAAGTTTTAGAAATTTGATGAAAAATCGAATCCATGCCATTAGTTTTAATCACCACAAAGTTGCCACATTGTATCATTGGAACTTAACTGACCAAATCTGAAATTAAAACCAGAGTGACAAGAGTGAATTCAATTCATTGGGAATAGTTCCATTTGACATGACATTATTTTAATGATAAATTTAGTGTGACACGTATTGTGCAAAAACTTATTGTGTTGACCATGCCATGATGGCAAGAAGAGAGTGGTCAAAATAATATCCTAAACTCAAAATACATATGGCACTTTTTGAAGATTGCAAGTGAATAAATGGTAGCTATACGACTTTGTATATCTTCAGAAAGAATCATTAGGGAGAAGTTGATATTTTTTTTTTTTTTTTTTTTTTTTTTTTTTTTTTTTTTTTTTTCTTTCTTTCTTTCTTTTATTTAGAGTGGGAATATTGATGGAGCTGTAGAATATCAACTTGTTTGAACTGATGGAACTGGCTTCGTCAGCCTAATAGACTTGACTTAAGCAACTGCCTAGGTTCCTCAAGTACTGGGATTAATTTCAGAATTGAGATATTGGCATCAATGATCAGAAAAATGCCTCACAAATGTTTTAGCATGGAAAGCCCCCAAAAGCACTTAAACCCAGTTAAAGACACAACGATTTGGAGGTAGCAGTTTTATAAAGGTAGTTCTCAAAAAAAAGTTAAATAAGCTGATTACAAATTATCCTCTGGGATGCTTGAGACTAATTTCCATTAAAATCTCAAATAATGATCTCTTTTCTTGCTGAGCCTAGCGAAAATCGCTTCTCTGATAAATTTGGCTTCGTGCACTAAGATACTTTTTTGCGGAGTCATGTAAATTAGTGAAGGAAATAAATGTCCCCGAAGCGTCTCAAGAATTGAACATGAAGTTTAAAACCAGCGTTTCCTTCTTACTTATGTGAGAACCGTAAAGAACTTAATGAATCAAGGTAATTCATGAATAGATCTGTTCAGTCTTTCTATTTACTGCTCTTAAGTGAGCTTAGATTTCTGTCCATGTCAAACTGCAGCGACAGATAGTGACTCAAAATTATATTCCTGTGTTTAAAAACATCACAGTTCTGAGGATTATTTTAAGAAATTAACATGCCAGACAGATTTCTGTAAGTGGATGTGGTTCGTTTTTTTAATCTGATAGACAGGTTGCCATAATTCGCTAAGAGAAACCCCAAATAATCCATTCTTGGCTCGATAACTTACGGCCATTTTCTGCACCATCCACTTTTGCACCCATCTTTCTGAGTGGGTTGGAAATTTTGGATATTCTCATCACCACTGACAACATGGGAAATCAAATGCTGTAGCTGCAAGAAAGCTCTGGAGGGGGGGGGGATTCCGTTTGATGTAATGAAGGTTGGCAGGCTGGGTAAAAACTGAACCTTATCCTCTTAATCGTATTATTTCATACATCAAACAGATCTACACAGTATTACCTCTGCGCAGTCTCTCTGATCTGCCTACCGAGACCGAGAGCAGCTGCTGGCACCATCAGAGTTTTAGATTAAAGTAACTAATTTCTTTCCCAGTAGGAATTGTAGAAATTGAATTATGACAAGCCTGATAACACTGTTTCCACAAGAGGAGTATGAACTGTCTGTATTAATTTATTTAGATAAGTTTCAAAGCTCCAATTAAATTTTTACGTGCACCTATCAAAATACTGCCATGCATAAGAATCTCAATTGAAAATGCCAACTAGACTCTCCAAATTAAAATCCCTATATTGTACATACTTTTTTATTTATTTGCATTTTTATATACTTTTAATACTTTGTTTATCGTGTGATTTTTTTTCTCCGAGTGAAATTTTGATTTTTTTTCTCTTTTTTTCTAAAAAAATATTTGGTTATGAAATGATTAATTTCACATATACTTGTCTCTTTAAGTTCCTTTTTATACACACATATTTGATTTTAAGATATTAAAGTAAATTATGTTGAACATTTTCTCGTTTATGAAGTTCTTACTTTTTACCTCCCAGATTCCAATTGAAATGCTCATCAGTAGCAAGCTGGGCATTGCTCGTAAGTAATAGGTCATCTAGTGAATTGACTGACTAAGAGCTGTGTGAGATAAGGCATCTTAAAACTGTCAATCGATAAAAGAGCAATAAAGTCTCAACAACTAATCTGTGGTTAGATGCTTAACTGCTATTGATCGAGGATGGGTAAATGAAATGAGAATTGAGTATATTGACGGTGACTGAGGGAATGAAAAGGGAAAATCAATTTTCCGACATCATACTTAACGATGAATTAAAAAATTTTATTCTGTTAAGTAACCATGAGTTGAATTAAAAGTTTTGTGAATACAAGACATCCAGTCCTACAAACTGTTGAACTTTAAATAGGAGAATGAAATCTGAACTTTTCGTCTTGGGTTTTCTGGGTACCTCCAGGTTCGATAAAGACAAAAAACAAAGAAACAAACATAGGAATTAGCAAAAGCTCCACACTGAGAGGTGAATATTCAAAAGAACAAGAAGCACTGTATAAAAATGTGAAAGTACAAGGTGTTTCGATTTCAGACTTATTTGATTGCTTTGAATGAATTCAGAACAAATTAGCTGTTATGGTCAAGTCCATGTTCACTGTATTGCACCTACTTCACTAAAAAATTCAAGAGGTATTACTTGTTTTGTATGAGAAAACTGGTATGATTATGACAGATCATCTTGCTTTTCGTCACTCATTTTTGGTGTTAAAGAATTCCATAAGTATTTTTATCATTTGATAGAAACATTTATCATTTTATTAGAAATGATTGATTAATCGACAGTATTGCTTTTTTCCAAACTTATAGATCATTTTTGGTGGGTATATTCATGAGAATCATTGCTGTGGTGAATTACTGTTTTTCTTAAAATTAATGACACTCAGAATCTTTGAATCAAAAAGGTACGATACATGGAATTCCAGTTTGACCATGATAGTTACTGCTGCCAAGTCTCACAAACTATTTAGCCTCGTTCAACTACAGAGAAATCCTTCTTTTCTAAATAATCTGTAAGTTGTACGTAATAAATTCATATATGTATAATAAGACTTCATACCTCAAGAAAAGAAAAAGACAGTTTCAGTCTCATAACACCTGAGATACATTTTAGATTAGTTTATATTAAAAAAATCGCAATACTTTGGTATAAAGGAGCTTTTGATGGTTCTCCTTCTTTTAATTTCACACCAATTGACTGAGGCCTTCCTAAGAAATTGATGCATCAAAAAGCAAGGGAAAAATTTTACAAATATATTTTTGTTAAGAACAAAATCTCAGATAACTTGATTGCAATTGCAGACTTACAACTAATGATAAAAAAGGAACTACAAAATATTTGAGGGATGATCTTCCGCGACCAAAATAGTACTGTTGATACAATTTAATCATTTATCAACACATGTGAAAAAAACTTCGAACGGATGAAGTCACTAAGGGCAACCAAGATATAAATATTTATTGCGTGAAGGAACAAAGGAGAAGCCTAGTTGACAATGGGCATTAAAATTCAGGACTGAAACCTGGTATTGGTTATTCTTGGCTATACCTGGTAATTCTTGGGATTAAAATAGCCTTTACCCTGATGATGGGAAAGAGTCAATGATAAAGAGGAGAGGTATCCGCTCTCTAGGGTAAAACAATTTAGATTCCTTCTTATTCATATCTCTTTCAAAGGAAAAAAGCAGGAATCAAGAAGGAATCCTAGAAAAGTTAAAGTTAAGTTAAGTGAAAAGTTAAAGTTGAAGTCACTTTTCTTTATTATTAATATGTACTTTTCATACCAAACTCATCTCAGGGGACCTGTTATGCTCTCACTCTTCAGCTCCTTTATCGTAAGAAGATTCGCCCATTTTCTTTCTCCATGGCAACATCCTGAAAACTGCTAGTCAACAACTACTTAAGACTTAGATACTGAGGTCGTATGTATGGTCATTCTTTACATAGCTCCTTTTCTTTGAGGGCCTCAATACATTGTCGATGAGAGGGATTAAGGTGAATCCAGGGTTCGATTAGGGATAATTCAAGATAAGAGATAGCGCCACCAGTCAACACTGAGAATTTTACTTTCCTTCAATGATTACTGAAATAATATTGTTCAAATTACAAAAAACAGATCCACAAGATGTAGGTTATTTTTTTCTTGATTTTTTGAGCCAAAAATATTGGCAATTAGAATTACAAGCGCAGAGAAAGTACGGCTGAAACTTCCAGCTCAGCAGCGGCGGCCGAGCGCGCAACCGAATCCCTCATGTTCTGTCTCTCTCTCTCAGACCATTGCCGCAAGGGAATTACTTTCCACCGTAGTTACGACTTTATTTTTGGGGATTTTGGGAAGATTTTTTTACTGAGTGTTCCTCAAGTATGTTGCTATATCCCCTGGATCCCCAATCTTGAATAAGTATTACGGTTTTTATTATTTTGGCAAATATATACGGCTATTCTGAACAGCGCGACGTGGTGGCCAAATCGCGAAGTTCCAAGCCTGGATTCACCTTAAAGAGACTCTCAGCGCAGCATAATAAAAAGGAAAGTTTGAACACAGTTCGAGTAGACTCATCAGTTGACTTTGGAAGTAGATCCTTACAAAGAGTTACGATGATTTACCTCCGCAAAAAATATAAGATATGAAAGAAAATAGGTTCTCAATTGTGTAGATTTAAAGGTGGTTCCCTACCTACCTTAAAATGTGTCTGAGTAATAAAATCTTTCCTTGCAAGTGCTTCTGTAGTGGCAAATCATTGGAATCCCATTGGAAGGATCTATTTCCGAAGTCTAACCGATGAATTTTGAGTTCCGTTAAATCTGTCATATTTATAATACCACATTTAAGGCTTTCTACACCTATCTTAATCACAATGTAAATTAATGTATATAGGGTCCCCTTAATGAAAGAAGCTGTCTAAAGAATAAATATTAATATGATCCTTAGCATGTAAGTCTTAAATGTGATTTTTGGCATGCAGTTTTTAGAGTATTTCCTGAGGAAAATACACCATTAGCATGTTGCCACGGAGAAGGGAAATGGATGAATGTTCTTAAATTACCTGAGGAAGCTTAATGATAAGGGTGTAATAGATGAGTCTGGAATGAAAATTATGAATAAATAAAAAAAAGAAGTTCAACTTGCACTTTTCTAGGCTCTCTTCCTGATGTCGGTTTCTTTCTCCATGAGAGGTACGAACAAACACATCATTACTTACTCTCCAACTCCTGAAAACTCATATTTTGTCTTACATAATTATTCTTAGAGATCAATTGGGCTGCTTTCCATAATTTTCCTGTTATCCTAGGTACGAAAGCTGTCAAAGAGCCCTTGGCCTTTCAGCTATTGAATTTCTACGGTTTTAATGCTTTAAGACAAAAAGAGGATGGAGACGCATATCAGCAATGGGACATGTAATTATGATGTCCATAGGTACCTAAAGAATTCTCAAAGTTAGGTTTAGGTGTAAAGTGCGACTCATTTTTTGCCGGATTGTCTCCTTTAAGTACACATGCATTTTTAGATGGTTTATAGAGAAGAAACTGCCATTTTAAAAGTTTAAAAAACTATTTAGCTGTAATCATTTTAAATCATTTTAGAACTTTGCACAAAATGAATAGGAAAACTAAAGAGAAATACCCACATACTTAAAAGGCCTTACGAATAAAAATACAAACAAACGTAACAAAATTTTCTCCAATATCTACTTAAAATCTATTTGTAGGTACTGTTGAACAAGGATTCTAATTTACCCTTTATTTATCAACAAGACAGAATGCATACTCGTCAACAAAATAGGCGAGAGTACAAAGATAACAATAAGAGCATTTTAGCTCTCGAGAGCGAGCAACTTTTTGACGATGCGCAGAAGATGAGGAACCAAATCATTTTCTGAACGTTTCAAAGTCAAGCTATAGATGTTCTTATATAAAGGAGCCATGCAGGATATCCTGGGAAGAAAAAAACATCGAGAACAATCACAACACAGTATGAGGGACAAGAGTAAGTCAATTAAAACAAGATATGGACCGTTGAGAGGAACATGAGCATGATCATAAATTCCCTCATTAACATTCCAAAATGTTCCTCAGACAGTTTGATGGGTCACTAGTCACGAGACATTATGAAAAGTAAAGCATCACGGCACATGTAAGTATACATATCAAAAAATATGTCTACTCAACCAAAAATAAAACATGATGGACACATTGAATAAATCTAATTTCAACTCGCATATTCATGGCTAGATGCGAAAAGTGCGTACCTCATTTGCAACATTAAAAAATCTCCAATTTTGTTACATGTTCCTAGAGGAAAACTAATTATTCTTCACTGTAATTTAATGTCGACTTTTTTTTTTTTTTTTTTTTTTTTTTTTTTTTTTTTTTTTTTTTTGGCCATGGGTGAAGAAACTGTTGGTTTGTTTACCTTAAAAAAATAAAACATGCGCAGAGAGTTACATTAAATACAGTGTCGCAATTTGAGATACACAATTTTGCCCTCAGACATCAATATCAGATATCAGAAATTTTTCTACTCTGAAATTCCAACCTCCTCCTTGCCAAAAGACCAAGAGATAATACAGTCAAACAAGGCACACTGTTGATTTCAGTGTGCTGAATGAATTCCAAAGGTTTGCAAGCGCTTTGCAGACATCAGAAAAGGAAGAACTTTTAGAAAAACCTATTCTCAGTAAATTATTTGCCAATGAAGTTTGTTTTCGATAATCAGTTAGACCTACAATAATTTTGGTTTCCTCGGTGGCAAATAAAAAAAATAAAATTCGGTTCTATAAATTAATTTTATGTACGCAGTAGGTTACATGTCCCTTGGAGCATCAAAACAGCGGTGTGCCGCACACCAACAAATAACGACCAAAGTCAATTTTTCAAAAACAGCACATCATCTCTTTTCCTCTAGGTTTTAGGCATTAAGAAATTGTGGAAATCTTTAAAAAATCGATTATGAAAATTTCTGAAGTTTCAAGAGGGGAAAAGCACACCTCAAATAAGGAAAGTGTAGATCAATAAGAAAAAGCATCTTATTTTTAAAATTAAAAAATACTTCAAAGGGCGAAAGAAATAAATTTATTCAAAAGCTGAATTTGTGCTTTTTAGCTTTGAGTGTTGTAAAAGAAAAAAAAAATTCTGGAGTAAACTTACCTGGATTGAGAGTTATTTCGGCAGAGTTTTGTCAGCGAAAGGAGGATGAATTGAAGTCTCTGTTCAAACAATGAGAGTAACTTGATAGTTTGAACTTCTTCTTCTTTGTCCAAATCTCGCTCCTTTTTCCTTTCGATATCTAGGTTTTCCTTCTTACAGCCTTCAGCTTCCTTCTCTTGCTCTTTTACAGACTGATTTTTTTCACTTCCGTCTCCTAATGTAGGTGCTTTAACAACATCTTGAGTTATTTTGCTCGAAAGGAGTGCCAGAATGGGTGCTGACTGTGAAAAGAGCTTTATCGAATCTTGGTACAGTTTCCGTTTTTTTTCTCTTTTGTTAGAATCTATAATGACAGTACAAATAATAGCAAATGTTAGATGTTAGACACTAAAAATATAATTTGATGTGGGCAGTTCTTGATTAGTTATACAATTGATCCTGCAGAAAGAACTGAATTGAAGAACTGATATGAAAAAATGGGTCTGTTGTACTTAATGGATACAGCCAAGTAAATAGGCTTTATTTGGTAAAATCGTACAAAAATCACAATGGGCACAGCAAAAAAGTGTAAAATTTACTTCTTGGCTCACAATCTGAGTAAATTTGAGACAAACTTTTTTAAATTTCCTGCATCCGCAGGAAGATTTTCTTAGTTACCGTCAATCAAGTTTGCCTAGAGAGATGCAAAAAAACCTCACCAAAATAAAGAAAACAATATCTCGAACTGACACAAACTTTCCTTGCATATAATATCTTTTGATTTAAAGCTTCCAAGCTTGCAACAGAAATCAATTACATTGAAGGAAACAAACACTTGAAAACGATTGAAATTATACCTGAGACAAAGTTCGTGAAATGATTTCTGGAAAGACTTAGTTGCTGGCAATTTGCAAATAATGCCCGCAGTTGCAGAAAATTTGAAAAGGCGTGTTACGAACTTCGCAAACTGCCTGCAAAAGGAAGGATTTCAGCCACTTGTTTGATGATTGATTTTTGCATAATTTTACTTTTGGAAAGTCTGTTCACTAGGCTGTTCTCTTGCAAGGAACAAGTCGTTTTGTGTGCTTTTTCTCTTAATTCAGGTCTTTTTTCACATCAGTTGTGCCTTTCTATGAGATATTTCAAAAAGGTATTTTTGCAATCTTTTTGATGTAAAGGGGGGAAAAAACACCTAGGTCATTACAGGTTGTGGTAAGGATGGTTAGAGAATATATGTTCAAAATTTGTTGTGTAAAGAAAATTTATTTGAGGATTCAGTTTTTCCCCCTAAAGTTTCAGTGTATTTGAATATGTAGGATTTTACAGATTAGTTGGAAGTGGACTCTTTAAATAAAACTATGATACAGATTGAATCTGGTTTAGACCTTTTATTTTTTTTTTTTTTTGATGTTGTTACAGTGTCAGTCCAGTGATTCTCATGTAACTACTATGGACCACTAGACAAGGTACGAATTTCAGCATTCTGATGCATGCTTCGTGACTAAAATTTCATGTAGAACACGATGCGCACATCAAAAATTACCGCAATTAACTCCTTGCGAAGATATTAATGATTCTTGGTGCGTGAATTCAAATCACCCGCTCATGAAAACTCAATGCTCTACGTGATTCACATCGCGCGCTAAATGTTATCATGACAGTCTCTGCGATATGAAAATCTGGCAACCTCAATCTTGGCGCTTTGGCTCAGCTATAGCAAATTGCTTAGAGTTTGAACAACACATGGTAGGAGCTGAACATTGCTCGATTGAGAAGATTGCTGAAACCGTTGTAGTGCGCGATTTGACTCACGTAGAGCTTTGAGTTCCTTAAGAGCGGGCAGTTCAAATTCCTAGTAACCAATGTGAAATAAAAATGTTAATAGCTTCGTTAGGAGTTGGTTTCAGTAATTTTCGTTGCGCGAATCGTGTTCTACGTGAAATTCTGGTTAAAATACATGTATCAGAATGCTAAAATTCGTACCTTGTCTAGTGGTCCATTACGTTATAATATACTTCCAAAAATGTGCTTTACTTCACAAAGGCAAATTGTTGATGAAACTCCCAAACATTGTACTTCGCTTGCAGTGTTTTAAAATCTTGGCTCCTATTTTATTTTTTAAAGGAGAAAAAATCAACATCATTCCTTGAGCTTTTCTGCACGCAGAGAAAAAAAATTACGGCAGTTCTTCAGAATTGCCGTTGGTTAGTTAATCATTTTAAAATAAAGTATGACAGGAAATCTGCAACGTCGCAAACCGAGATACTTGGTTTGAAAGTTACACCGTCAAAATAAAGTTTCCTGATGGTTGGAGAAACTGCAAAGTACTCAGAAAATAAAATCTTCAGATGAATACAATTCGTGTGTGGGTATTTCGGAGAAGAGTCATGTGGTAAATACATAACGTTTGTGCACACCAAGATTTACCTCTTGCTCCTCAGAGTTAGTTTATCCAATTTCACAAAATATAAAAAAAATTGTACATCTTACTTGCAGCAATGAATTCATTGAGGGCAACATTTTCTAGTATCACTCTCAAAAATTCTGACGGGTGTTCCAAATGGAGGAAGAGATGACATGCTTTATCATAATGATGATAACATAATTGCAGAGTATGTTTCTTCTTGTTTTCATTCTCCGTATCATGCCTGAAATCAAGATTTGGGAATTTAAAATGATTTCAATGATTGATTGAGGAATTTTTCTTTCCATAGTTCAGTTGAAGAAAATTTAGATCAGAATCTCCTGTATTTATCATTATTTGCGTAAATAGTTTCCATATGGTCTTGGGCATATTTGAGACACTTCAGATGACAACTTTTAACTTTTATGCTGTAATTTGATGAGAAGACGAGACATAGCATTTTTTTTAAATTGAGGCAACAGGTGTGAGAAGGGTACTTCTCGGTTGGAGCGTTTCAGAATTTTCGCTGATAATCATCGCTTCCTTCATTCATTGCAGGTAGAGTAAATGCATGCCTTTCATTAAAGTTTGTACTATATATTCCTCCATAATCCTACAATGTTTTACAGGAAAATTCCAGAATAATCACTCGTTAGATTCTCCTCATAAAACATAAATTAGCAATGAAGCTTTTCAAACCCGGCGACCAAAAAGTGCCCTTTCAACATCTGGTGCTTTCATTAGGTACGATCTAGTGTCTTTGACAAACTTTTTCATAACCTTTACTATTAAATTTTGAAAAGTTGCATTTGATTTTTAAAATTATCAACTGAAAAATTTGCAAAATCATTCTTATTCCAAAAAGACTAAACTGACTACACAAGTGACAAGTGAGCAATTTCGATATGTAACAAGCAAATAAATCTTTGAACTTTGAAAATTTCATAGGAATTGTTTTCCTCATTCTTGTTGGCTTCCCAATTGAGTAATGCATACTGAAATCTGATTTGATCAGTTAACTACGTAGTCATGTCGAAGTAGGTGAAAATATTTTTGATGAGATATTTGGTTTCAGCATGTTTTAAAGAAATTTTAGGGGGGAAAAATTCAAAGCGGACCGATCCCGAAAGGGAATTTCCCATCTCAATATATACTTGTGATATAGAGGTCATGGTATAGACTACTTTTACACATATCAATGACTCAGTCTAAAAATGCGTGTCTCAGATTGCGACATTGTAAGTGTCCGCTTACTGTTTCTTTTTTAAAGGGAAACGAATCGACAGTTTCTGTTGTAGCTTCCTGTGAGTTTCCTTCATTCATTATAAAAAAAATCACACACAAAATTGCACGGACACATTTTGATTAGTTTTCCTAGGAAAAAAAACCATGAAATTGGAGATTTTCAAACATTGTGATTGAGGTAGGCATTTTGTTCCACTTTTAGTGATGGAAATGCGTTTTATTTTTTTTCTAGTATTTGAGAGGAAGAAAAAAAATTCACCATCTAGCATTGCAACAGAAAAAAATGAAAACAAAACAGCTTAGACATTACCTATATATACTGTGGTAAAGTGAAGCTAGTCTGTAATGGATTTTAGCAGCTCTGTACTGATAGACTGGAAGACGTGCAGTTTCTGTTTCTAGATCACAGTATTTTAAAGCCTTTAGAAGCAGTTCAGCAACTTCTTTTTCACTTTCTTCAACGCTCTGTGGACAAAAAATGTTGGTGGTGAGTAATTTCAATCATTGTACATTCATGACACAATTTTCGATAACTTTTTGAGTATAAAATTAGTTGCATATTTTCTACAAATGTTCGTTCCATGGGTTTGTCTCTTGAAGAATGCCCATTAAAACAAACATGGATTAATTTCCTTAATTCCTTCAGATAATCGTTTATAAATTTTTCTACGGCATAGTTTAGAAGCATAATCTACAAAATAATCTTGTTAAAATACTTTCCAAGTTATTTTTGATGGAAAAACTCTTCCCTTGATATTCAGCAAGTTGGGTTTTCTTTTGGCAATTTGAGAGGGATGGTAATTGGAATGCAGGAGTAAAATACTAGTTAGAATAAATAATCTAACTTTGAACATTTTGGTCCCCCTTTCCATTCTACAAGCCATTCTAGGCCAACTTTTTAAGCAGAATGATCTATAGCATAATTTCAACTCTTTCATCAGCGTCCTTGAGGTAGAAAGTGAGAAAGAAATGTTAAGAAGAGGAATTAAAAAAAATATGCAAACTCACACAAATTACAAACCTGATTTGCTGCTGATGAATAATCTTGAACCATTGATGCCAATGTGAAAGATGCAGTTGAAAGCTCCCAGTTGACAGTATCCCATACCATGGGATTATTGGATCTACATCCTATCACAGCCATGGCTTTTTGATAACTACTTAAAGCCTGAAAATAATAAGTAAAAAGTTAAACAAGCGAAAATCTGTTTTTTCCTCTATTTTTTTAACAATTGGTCTGGAATCCCATTACTACCCTTTTGTGTTTTAAACTACATACTTTTCAATTACAGAGTTGCCTTGGAAGCTTTTTCAATGCAATTTTTTTTATCAGCATGTTATTGATCCACAGAACTTGCAGATTTTATTTTACATTCATTCAAAAAAAGTGTGCAGCTGAGTTCGGTGCTTGTGAAGAGAGAGAAAAATTGCGTTACCTTGTTGTAGAAATGTCTTTCTTTAGGTGAAAAAGCACCCTGATCTTGTGAATGATATAATGCTATGAGGCGCATTAACCGGCCTTCATTGGAGTGGAGGAGAGCTAAATTAACATCGTCCTTTACAGCTTCAAAGAGTTTGATCCCCTTGTCTAGATATTCCTGAGATTTTCTGAACAAAGACTTTACGGTTTCTGAGCTGAAAGGAACAGTTGCTGAAACAACAACATTTAAAAAACAAAGGATATGAAATTCAGCATGAGACTGAACACACTGAAAAGTAAAAAAAAACTTGTATTTCACAGCAAACACTGTAATTAGAGAGCACTGTTAAACCCCTAGGACTCCTAGGAGTGTGTCTTCTTGCCGTGGAGAGAATGCTAAAGTAGTAGATATTGCAAGAGAACGGCGCAGTAACTTGAGTGTCTTTTCTTTCTGACTTCATGAATTTGATTTGTGGAGTCCCTGGATAGGGCACGAATGAAACTTTTATGCAGAGCACACCATACCCATTGAAACTATTTAAAAATAAACTAATAACTGCGAGCTTAGCGTTTCATACTTTAGATTGAAATCGGTGAATTCAAAAACAAAAATTAACTGAAGTCAAAAAGGTCAATAATAATAATAAAAAGAAAAATTACCTATCATTCAGCAAGTACCAGAATTTACGAATTGTAATAAAATCACAGCATATGCATATGCAATTTCAATGTCTTGCTTGCACATCAATGCTCATCAATCTAGATGGCAATATAGTATGCAGCTGACAGGACCCAGCCTGCACTACTTACCTCTCAAAAATGAAAAAATAGAGAGGCATTGGCCCTCATGTCTCCCAATGCCCTCTCTGAATCAAAAACCGATCCCTCTCTATTTTCTCACTCTGGTGGGTCTGGAGGTCTGCAGCCATCGCACAAGCTAGGTCCTGTTAGCTGCATGCTCTACTGCCAATTTAATTGGTAAGCATTCACAAGCCGGCAAATTTTTTGAACTGCAATTGCGGATACTATGATTTCATCACAATTCATTAATGAATCAGTGCAGTGAGTCCAATTGTTCTGTGTCAGGTGCTTTCAAGACCTAATCATCATCTAGCTGCTACCTGAGGTAAGCTGGCAGCTGTACACTAGAAAGCGCTGTTACCAAATTTTTTGCCAGGTTCCTACAGGGGGAGCAATATATTTTTGATATGTTCTTCAAAAAAATCTTAGTGAAGTTTCCAAGTCAATTACTCCTAATTTTTACCATCAAAATACGGGGAGATGAAAACTTTTTTGCAAGTCTAAAGTCTAATGAATTATTCTAGCTCTGTTGCTCTGTCTTTTCTTTTTCTTGTGCTCTTTTTGTAATCTATTTCAAGTAATTTGGTAGGATACACATAAATTCTGATGAATTACCTTCAGCTTGATTCATATAAAAAGCTCCTAGTTCATTATGAACATTTCCCAGTCTTCGTTTCAAGATATTTCTTTGCGCCCGGATTTTTTGATGCTGCAAAGCTCGTTCATAACAATGACAGCACTGAAGTAGGGTTTCGCCAAAGTCTGGTATCGTATCCGGAATGAGTTTGAGATCTGCAAGAGGTGAGTCAATTTTATAATCAACATCGTGGATAAAATCAAAGATCACAAGTTACAGGGTTCTACCTACACCAAAACTTAACGAAGCAATAATCTGCTGAGTGGAGAGGAGTATGCTACATAAAGGTAGAACTGAGAGAATGAGGTATGAAATATCATTTCCACTAGATTCAAGGCTAAAGATAAAGTTTGACTCTATTTTTAAAATATAACTTTATTGTCTACTTTGAATTTTTGGAAAGAGAAACATTTTTGATTGGTCAAAATTTCACACTGCATTTGGCTAATTTTTTTTTTGAAGCAAGGTTCTACTGTTTCCTGATTATTTCCTCCCAAATGAGTGGAATGGAGGTCAATGATGGGTTATTCATCTTTTGATATTTACTTTTTGATAAAAAGCCCAGATATTTTATCCTCATCTAGTTTGTGTCTAAAGTATTAACTGATACAAAGGGCAAGAAGGGTAAATTTACTCAGAAAGTTCAATAATTTACCGTCACTGAATGGGTCCATTGCAAACTTTTGCAAGAGCAAAAATAACAGTTGTTCCTACCAGTAAATGTCTCAAAAATCACGAGGAGCGCATTGGCAAAGTTTGAAATTCACTCCTAACTTCACAATCTGCATCAGAAATTTACTGCGTGTTTTTTGAGACAAGAGAGACTGTGAGAAACAACTATTATTTTTGCTCTAGCAAAAGTATGCAATAGGCCCTTTTTTATTCTACCAAAAAACAAACAAAAAATAAAATAGATTTCCTTCCTAATTTTTTTCAAAATTACTTATTCCTTAAGTGAACTAACACAGGGATAATCTGGCGTAGCCGCTACTGACTAGGCTGAATTTCTTTTCACAGACTCTTTCAACTGTATATGTTTATTCTTTTTTTCTGAATGGAGCCTTAATAGGAGCAGGGAAAAAATTCCAAAAAATTCCATTTACAAGCCGATTTTGCCCTTTCAGGGATCTTTGTTCAGGTTACTTTGCAGTAGTTCAGTTTGTCATGGCCCTCTATTTCAGTGACTGTCGTTCTGCTCTAACACTAATTTTGTATTTTGCCACACTCAGAGTATTTTATGAGCATTTTAGTCCCAAAATTAAAAAAAAAAAAAAATGAAATTTTGACAGTCTGAAGTTAACTATTCAAAAACCATAGATTAGAGAAGAGTTTTCAAAAGCTCTGAGCAGCCATGATTTAAGCTTGAAATTATCAAGTTATAATCTAATTTTAGGCTTTCTAATGCCACAAGATAGAACTAAACAACTCGTAACTTTTTCTCTGGGATGATAGAAAATGTTTTCTATCAAAATCTCAAATCCTGATCCTTGATGCGACTCAATGGCATAGCGTGAATTACGATATGTCGATTTTTGTGCCATTTAAACCTATGAAAAAATATCGATTATCAGGGTGTTCGAAGCGGACACCTTAGTAATCGATTCTTTAACATAGCTTCAAATGGCGAGATATTGATGATCGATTATTCACGCCACGCCACTGATACAACTTAACAAAAAATGTTCTCTTACAAAACTTTCCTGGGTGCACTGAAGACCCTCTTTCCACATATGGTCACAAATAAGTATATTCGTTCCATCATTCATAAACCCAGTTCCACTTATTTTTAAGTCTTTCCAGAACATCCTTACCTTCCTTGTACTTGTAAATTTGACTATCTTTTTTAATTTGGTTCCAGATGCGTTCATCGATCATTGAAGAAGACTTTAAGTCTTCTCTGGTTTTTTCTATACTCATCCAGTCTCGAGCGATTTGAAAATAGCAATCCCCGCAACGACCGAGAAGATAGCTGATGAGCTCCTTGCTTTGATCACTGCTGGCTGCCAGTGCCCGGATGTACATTACAAACTTATAGTGCTTCAATGCCTTTCCAAACCTAAAAAGTTTACAAACATTAGGATTGTGAATTATGCGTCATTAAATCACCTTGAGAAGTTTTCTTTTCAATAAAACCAATTAAAAAGAGATATAAACATGGAAATTTGTTGGTTTTGATGTAATTCTTCTTCATGTATACTGGAGAACTTATGTTCATTGATATGATGCATCATGAAAAATGATTTACACAAGTTTGGAACCCTTAAGTCTGATAGAGAAGGGGGTAATGGTTGCATCAAGATTCGAGAGGCTTGTAACTTTTGAAAGAATCGGGATGTTAGAGTTTGCTTAGTGAGGTTCGAATAGTTTGCACTCATTTGTCTGGTTTCCAGAGACCAATGAGTAGGTAAATTAAAGTATCCCTGTCATCCCTTCATATTCAATATAAGCCATCACTTTGTACACTGATTTTAATTTTATAGTTTCTTCTGGTTCTCAAAATATTTATAAAATCATTCTGATCAAATTTTTAATTGTAATAAGTTAATATAAACAACTATTTCATTATAATTTTTACTCAAATTCACAGATGTATGTAGTACAGTCAAATTGCTGAGGCTTCAAGAGCGATTTTTCCTTTGAGAACTGGTAAACTACTTACTAGACAAAAGCAATCATTTAAATTTTCTTTGTTGTGAGTCTACAGGAGTAAAAGGTATGATTAAAATTAAATATAATAAAGTTTTAATGAATGTAGATAAACTGAAAGCACATAAGAACCAGAGCTGGTTGGAGAAAAAAATTAATCTTACTTCATCATTAAACTTCATGAGAAGGTAGGAGAGATACTAAAACAAAAATAAATTTGTTGAAAGGGACAACCAATAACTCAGTCTCCTTCGGCTGTTTTCACTCTAACCTTGCTCATGGTGCCTATAGTCATGCATGAACCTGAGTCTTTCCATGTATTTTTAAGCTTTGAAAAATTTAAAATCCAGTTGCGCTGTGATCTTGTTGAAAGAGTGCTTTATATCGTCACAAGTGCCAAGAAAAGAAGCGATGTTACATAATATAATTTATCAATACACTAGGGGGCTATGCCCTCTAACCGCTTTGCGTTTCAACTCCGTGAGGCACTATGTGCCTCCGGCGTTATGAGTAATGCTTATGATTCTATACTATACAGTATGATATGATGTAGTATTAAAAAAAGCAGTAGACTCCTAGGAATTTTCTCTAAGGCAGTAATTTTTGCCATTTTATCCCGAACAAACAATTACAACAAGGTCTTGATCATGGTTTAAAGTTTCCAAGTTAATATGCACTACAGGATGAAAAATGAAAAAAGACAGTACCTTTTCAGATTGTACTCTTCTTCCGCCAACGTAGCATAGACAAGGCATGCTTTCTCTACAAGGAGTGTTTTCAGGTGCACACTCCAAGCCAGAGAGTCTTTCACAGGTGGTTGCTGTCCGACAGAGACAGCTTCATTGTGTGTTTTACATAAAAGAGCTTTCAAACTAGAAAAGAAGATGCATCTACTAAGATATTTGAGACATCAAAAAAGGCTGAATTCGTTGAAATACAGAAAAGAGATGAGGTTGGTCTTGATTTGAGTTCATTTTTCTTTCAGGAAGAGAAAAACTACTACACTTACGTATATTTAAGTCAAATCTACTTTAATAGTTCCACAGATAAACAGTGGTGCTGGAAAATTGCACATCTCTTTCCTTGTGTTTCAAAATCTACTTTTCAATTTGATTTTTTGCAAGGAGAACGAGCCATCATCATAGCTTCAAATTTTTATGGAATAATCTTCACATGAAGAAAAAAAATCATGGAAGTGTTTAAGATATGACATTCAGTAGTTTTCCATTTAGGAAATAAAATATGACAATAAGTCTGCAATGTCGCAGCCCAATGTACAAGTTTTTGTACCTTCACCATTGATATACTTACCCGAGTTTACAGCTGAAAGGAAAATAGAGAAGATATCACCATGGCCATTCTTTGGGTGAAGATATTTCACATCCAAAGAGACAATTTTTCAGAAAATGTTACTACTTCTTGTCACTACTTCAAACAAAAACTGGGTTAAATGCTCCAGCAAAATCACTTCAACATCGTATTGGTCTCTCAAGATAAATTGGACTGCATTTAGGGGAAAGGAACCAAACCGCATCAGCTATTGCCAAATTTAACGGGGCAATTTAATTTTTTACAAGAGAACACTTGTGCAGAATCCTTGAAAATTTTAGGGAATTGGCTTCGTACTGTGCAGAAATTCACTGAAATTTACATTAAAATCTGCATGACCGTTTTCATGTAAAAAATTAAATTGCCCAGCTTCATTTGAAAATAGTTGATATAGCTTGGGTCCTTTCTGCTAAACGCAGTCCAATTTATCTTTATCTCATGTAAAATATGGGCGACAACTGGCTATGTATTGATGTAATTGAGAAAGGCTGATTCATTTAAATAATTTGATAAGATTCCATCCTTAGGTATCTCAGTTTCCTATTCCAGTGCAATGTAGCCGAGGAAAAATTGATGGATACCAACGCAGTACATAGATTCACTAAATGTTTTCTAACAAAAGTGAAAAGCGCACAGCCACTCAAAAGTGTTTGTCAAACATCTTAATGCAGAAAAAGCACTCATAATAGTCACAGATACAGGTTAAAATAGACATTTAGGGCAGACTCACATTGTATTCTCATTCCCATCAACTTCTACTTCCAAGCCTTCACTTTCATCTTCGTCACTTGCAACCATGTCTTTCTGCAGCTCCTTCTTTCGTCCTTTCTTGCTTTTTTTGGGATTATTTCTGCTGGATTTATTGCTGTTACTTGTCTCACTATCTAATGATGAATAGGGCATTGGAATGGCTTCAAATGGTTTTGCTTGCTTTGGCTAAACAAAGAAAAAACGATTCAAGGTTGAGGTGGTTCTGCAGCACATTGGAGAACAATTCAATAGTCAATCGATCGATTGATAATTTCTAGATTTAAGGACAATTCTCAAGAATTTCCAAGCATAACGTCATACTGTAATACTTTGAATATTTGTGCACAAAATTGGGCCAAGAAAAACCTAGGAAGAACTCCAAAGGCACAGTCTGAGTGACCATCTGTAATCAAAAGGTAGAACAATTAGCGATATTCACTCAAACCATACTTTTGGAGTTATTTCATAGTGTTCCTTGGTTTAAATTTGTACATCATATTTGAAGTACTACAATGTGAAGTGATTCTCGAAAATTCCTAAAAAATATCCTAAGATTCAGAAATAGTCAACTGATCAATTGATTATCAGCTCTAGAGAAACTGAAGAGCAGTAAACGGATGTTTAGATGTAATTCTACTATCACTTCATAAAACTCATACTTTTACTGATACTGCTAATGCTCATTATTTCTAGAAAAAAAAGGGAAAAAACCTTGCTCCTGCCAAAAAACTGATGTAAACTTATGGCAAGACTTGATAAAAAGGACTGGTTACTGATAGAAAAATTAAAAAAGAAAAGAAATTCTCATACCTCTTTTTCTTCTGGTGTAAAAAATTTTAGGCAGTCCAGACCATTGGATATATTCACCAATGCCATTTCGCATCTTTCTTCAATATTTGTCGTTAAAGGTGGAGGTTGATGGTATTTACTTTCTGCGAACAGAAGCAACAAAAAATGAAAAAGGTGAGGGACAGAGGATTCTGATGAAAAATGCTCGGTTAAATAATTTGTTATTACATGGTATAAAGCAGATAATTTAGAATGACTTTAGGACATCCAATCATTCAATTAAGTCCAGGTAGGATTGGCGTGAAAGCAGTTATTTCTTACAATCTTAATGGGAGAAAAGCACCGAGTACAATCAAATCTTTCAAAGAATTGTCCCTGTAGAGATACAGCCCTTGCTTTTGAATGGCAAGTAAAATGCACTGGAGCAGAGCCAAACCTCAGGAGTTATGTCTAGTGAGCAAGATGGCAGCTGCTACTCTTAACTCGAGACTACACCACCTGATCTCAAATTATACACTGTTCAGTGTTCATTGACCCATCAGTGCTTATTCTTCCACTACAAATTGTGCAGCCATCTCGTTTGCATGATGTGACCTGATTGATTCACGAGATAGCGCAACTCTAACCGTTTTTACAACTATCTTAAGTTTTTGCACTTTTAAATTCACTTTCCTCCCTCTTACGGCTGTCAAACCAGATCAAGAAAATAACTTTTGAGCTCAGTTTACCATAGACTTTCAAATGATGCACTAAAAACATTTACTGTACAGACTCATTTTTGATTGAGCTAACCAGCGACATTTCAAGGGTGGTGAGTTTTTTTTACCATTTTACAAAGCCCACCTGATAATCCTTAATTAAAAATTCCTGGATGCAGCATAAGTTTAAGAATAGCTTGTTGGTACCAAAGTGGGGTGGTTTCTGAACTTTAAAAACACCTCTTATACATATCAAATATGAACACAAACCTGTTAGGCTAGCTGAAGAACATAGTGCTTGAATTGGTACTGAGTTGCTCAAGCTTTCAAAAGCTTCCTCAAGATTGTCCATCTCATCCTCTAGATCATTGCTATCTTCACTTGATTCCTCTTCCAAACCAGGGGCAGTTGGATCTGTGTTTGCTGGCACGAAAAGATCTGACAGCATGTAATGCGCTGATGTGATAATCTGAGAGGACAAAGAATCTTCTTCCAATATCATTTTAAATAAATTATTCAGAATAATTCTGAGGTTAATCGTAGAAACCTATGGGTCACTCTGAACCCTGCACAGTGCACACTTGTGGGGGCTCGGTGGCTCTAGGTACATTTCGATGAAACTTTTATAAATTGACATAAAGTTGATAATTAGCACAGAGCCAAAAAATTAGACGATTCCACTATAAGGGAGCTGAGATATTCGTGATTGCACACGCAGACTATCTTATCATGTCAGCGTATGGCAGAAGAAATACAAGTCCTCCTTCCCCCTTGTTTGGCGTTCTTGCTCGGATGTTACATGCAATTACATGGTTACAGGCTAAACTAGTGCAATCAAAAAACCACATTCTTTTCTCCTACCCCCACCTGTTGATTCTGCTCATGCTATTTCAGATTCAAATAGCAGGTGCGGTGAGAGCTCAATTGGCCACCTCATTTTGAACTGAGAGGCATTGTGCTGCATGCTATTCTAAATAAAAGGAATAGGCGAAAGTAGCAGAAGACTCCAAATCACACTGCCCATGCTTGAGTGAGAGTATTCAGAGGTCGAAGCTACATGAAAGAAGGGAGGGATTCCAGGTTCCCGTCGGAGACAATGCGAAGCGCTGCATTTACTTCCAACGCGCAGATAACAGTCTGCGTGTTTGATTTTGAATATATCTGCTGCTATACAGTGGAATCATCTAATTTTTTCACTTTGTGTTAATGATGAGCTTTATGTCAACCTAATGAGGTTTCATCAACATGTACAAGGGGTACTGAGCCAATACAGGTGTGCAGGATTCCTTGTAGCTCTTGGTGTAATAAATGTAAACAAACCGTTTTACTCTTTATCACGATTCATTCCATTTTTAGATAATTTTAATTTTTTGTTGAATTAAAAGAAGACTTACTCTGATGAATGCATCATTTATATTTTTACAATTATGTTTTTGCAGTGTTTTAAGAACTTCTCTCTACAAACAAGCTGAATTATTGTTTTACCAATCGCATTGCCGTAGAAAGTAAAGACTGAAACAGGATCTGACAAGAAGGCAAAGAAATTTAAAAATAGCATTACCTCACGGACAGTTGCAGCAAAAACTTGTCCTCTTTTTAATAGGCAATTAGATACTACATTTTTTTTGCATACAGAGAGTTTGGTTTTGCGAACAGATGTCTATTTTCCAAACTAATGATCTAGATAGATTCTCTTTATAAGTGAAAATGAGTTCTGTTTAAAAAATGAAGGTAAATGGGAATTAATTGTACCTGAGGATACTTCTCTTTGGGTAGAAGAGTGATACTGTTTTCTAAGAGCATTCTTATGGTGCTAGCTTTGCAAGTGGGTTTTCTTGTGGAGTGCTTCATGTTGCGAGCAACGCGGTACAAGAGCATTGCTACAGGGATAGTGAATGGGTTCTGGCCCTTTTCTTCTAAATCTTCTGAGCAAAGTGAGGACAAATCGTACAATTTCACCACTTCCTCGCCTTTACCTGTAAAAAACATATATATACTCATGTTAAGCAGAAGATATCATCACTAAATTTTTCCAAGTTTTCTCTGAAAATTTTCATTATTAAATACGATCACACAGAGATCTCTGGCCACTACAAGCCTTTCATTGCAACAAACCATTTGATTTTAATTCTTTCAAATGTATATTATTTAGGAGAAAGAGTAAAAATACAAATCAAAATTTTAATTGAACTGCATCCTGAGAGCAAGGGACTGTTAGGTGATGCTGAGATGGGATCCACCGCATGCTTGTGCATAGCATTAGATATTTCCCTTCTCTATTTTTTACTATTTTCCACCCAACTAGAATGTGCAAATCACCGGAATGACCCTGAAAGATCTGGCCACTGTACTGATTTAGCAATGTTCATTTCAGAAAAAAATCAAAGCATTACTGCATACACGGAAGAATTTAAAAAAGGCGCCAAAAGACAAGTTTCCGACTTATTTGCCCATCCCTGAGCCTATAGTATTATAAGCTCAATACTGATATTTTTCTTCCACCTGAGACTGGGATAAAATTTCATGCCGCCAAAATGGTTAACTGCTCTGTGCAGTGGTGCCGTGATTTTTTCAACATTCAAAATTAGCTGAAACAAAAAAAAAACCCCCGGTGGCAGTGGTTCACATCTGCAAACTGAGCATAGGTTATTTTCAATTACTCAATAATTATGTGAGAATTGACACTTCTTAAAGACAAACCTTTGAAAAGCCAATAAGTATGTCCTGCTTTTGTTGCGTTTGATTTCAGAAATGAAAGAATGTTCTGCGCTACATCTCGAATGAGTTCCGGCGAAAATTGGCAATTGTCCATGTTTGGCAAATCCTCCGTCTTGACAATTTCATACTTTTGGACGATACCATCTAAATGATAACACATGACCACCTCTGGAACATTACACATCAGATTGTCCAGCCAATAATCGATTCCTGTTAAAACACTGATTGGTTTGGCAGAGTCTCTGAAATGAAGAAAAAATTTGCCATTATTGAAGCAATTATTTTTTTATAAATGGATAATTTTTCAATTTTTTAAACAATCATTAAATGCATGGCAATTTTGCGAGACAGAGTACCTACCTGGTTTTGTTTTTCCATTGATATGAATTCAGGGTCTTTACTGGGATGGAGAGTGGGAGAGGGGTTGGTATTTTAGAGGGTTTCAGATTATTTTTTTAAATGGACCGCGTTAAGCAGAAAGGAACCAAGCCACATCAGCTATTGTCAAATTTAATTTTTTACATGAAAACAGATGTGCGGATTTTAAAGCAAATTTCAGTAAATGTTTTCCATAGTAAGTGGCAAATTATTTAAAATTCTCAAAGGAATCCGCGCAAACGTTCTCTTGTAAAAAATTAAACTGTCCAGTTTAATTTGGCAATAATTGAAGTGGCTTGGTTCCTTTCTGTTAAAAGCGGTCTAAATAATACTTTTCTTGAGTAGTTTAGCGTAACCCTAAAAAATTTCCTATCAATTATCATTTCTACTTTCCTTTTTTAATGGGATTGGCAACATCGTGAGGGGGCGAGGGGGGAGGAGGTGTTAACGTCACTCACAGCAGTCAAGTAAAAATTATTGAGGCCTCTTTTCGGCGGACGAGATGTTTTGACAAAATTCGACGAAGTATCTTCCCATATCCCTTTTTACCCGCGGTAAATCGTCACCTTCCGACCAAAGTATCACAAGCGCCATCATGCAACGTTTAAAAATGTTGAAAAACGAGCTAATGTGGAGGCAAATCTAGGGGAAATTGGCTTATTTCGCGGGAAAATTGAATGACCTTTGAATTGACGTATTTGGGGGTCCGGAGTTCGGACCTCCCCCGGCCCCCCCTTAAAATTCGTTTGAAGTGATTTCTGCAATATTAACTTAAAAGCAAACACAATTTGGTAAATTTTCCAGTTTTATTTTTTTCTTTACGATAATTTGAACCGGAAGTATGATTTTTTAAAAATAGGTCAAATTTGACCTTTGACCTATCATAACTCGGTCAAAAATTAAGATATTGATCTGGGGTTTGCGCCAAAATTCTCAGTTTTTTATGCTCTTTCGAATGAGGTATCACAAGATAGGGGTTGCCATTTGAAAAAAAAAGTTGGGGGCCCCCTGCCCCCCCTGAAAGGAGACCAAAATTTTGAACCTCCTCCCCCAAAAAAGATGGTCCCCTTTGAGATAGGCGCATTCCCAAAGTTTCATTTTTCTATCTCGAACCGTTCAAAAGTTAGAGAGGGGGGGAACCTGGACTTTTGGAACACCCTGTATTATAATCTACCGAGGTGCTGAATTTGCAACTACCTCTATCAGCTGTTTCCGTGGATGACTCATGGGTGAATTCTCACTGTCTGTGGAATTTGATTCCACATGAGTTGCCATGCCATTACTGGATTCAGATGACCGTGTGTTATTTGATCAAAGCTCCAAAGAGAACTCTGAGGATGATTGTGGGTCCTTCATGCCACATAATTCGTTCACATTGGGAGAATTTTTTGGATTTTTGGATAGACATTTGACTTGATCAATTTGTGCAGAAGGTGAGTCTTTGTAAAATCATTTTTGTGGAATTAGAGTAGGTCTTTGAGATTTCTCAACTTTGTTTTAGCTTCTTCTGGCAACCCAATCGTACCAAAAACCTTTCTTTTCATGTATACGCTATGAGTAGTTTTTCGTTTTTCTGTAAGAACTGAAACCTGACTGGAACCTGAGAGACCTGAACGTAAAATTGCTGAGCTTCTATAGTTTTAATTCCTTTAAAATAGTTACAGAACTTTAAGTTTTTATTTACTGTGCAGTATAAATTTAGATGACACATGATGCTCTTCTAATAATTTAAAGTAGGCTTGCGTAATCAAGAGTAGGTATTTCCAGGGGATGGAGCTTGAAACCCTCTGGAGGCTCTGTGATCAAAATATCAGTCTGGTGAAAAAATATACACCTCTTGAGAGAACATTTGTTGAATTTTTGGGGATCATCATTTAATTGCGAATTTACACCACATTCTAAATTTATGAGAGCTTACACAAGGTGCCAGACCATCCGTACCAGCCTTTTTTCTTTCTTGTTCATTTTGGGCCTAATGAAGTAAAGGACCGCAGGGGGTGAACACGCAATCGACCCCAAGAAATCCGAATTTCACCATTCCAGAGCTCCTCCAGAACCCCTTGTGGCGTATAAAGGAGGTCCAGTCTATGAAAATCAGAGGTTTTAGCACAATTTTGAAGTTATTTTATTAAAATCAGAATGTACGAAAAATTTTGACCAAAATCAATACCAAATAGTCTAAAATTGGCCCATCCCTGTCCGAAATGTTGATTCTTGAAGTTGGGGGGACAGAGCCCCCCTTCATTACATGCATGGCCACAAAATTTACATAGAGACCTAAGAAAATTTGTCCTCATTGGTAATCAACCCAACGAAATCCAAATCTGATGGTGTCAAAGCCCTCTCATTCCTCCCTCTTGAGGTAAGCGGGGGCCCTTAAATTTATTTTGACTAGTCCAGGGCTTGTTCAGTTCCGCATCACCGAAACTTCCGGAGTATCAGATTCAGATTCCTCAAGGTTTAGAACACTTTTGTCCTTGGTCTCTGCGTCAATTTTGTGATCTAGTATTTTATTTAGGGGAGGCTCTGTCCTAGAACTTTGCAGGGTTAATATTCCAGACAGGTATGGGCCATTTTTGAACTTTTTTATATTGATTTTGGTCGAACTTTATGGTACTTTCTGATTTTAATTAAATAAATTCAGAATTGTTACAAGGACCCTGATGTTGAGGACCGGGCCCAGCCTCCTTTTCCAGCACCCAAGAAATTCTAAAAGGACTTCAGGATGGTGAAATTTGGACTAAAAAGCTATTTTTCAGAACTTTCTAATGGTAAGGGAATGGATCATTTCAGATAAACCGTTCCAGAGTTGCAAATCAATAAAGTGGCAACATCTATCGAAGAAAGCCAATTTTTTCGAACTTTCACTGTCTAATAAAAGCCCAATGGATGGTCAAAAAAGTTTAAATTTTGGATTTTTAATTGGCTATGCATGTTCACTAAGTGTGCCAAATGTTATCAAATTTGGAGCAGGTCACTTTTTCAAAGTGGTGCCTGTTAGTGGTACCAAAAACAAGGTTTTCTGAACAGATCGTAAAAAAATGCAGCTTTCCTTTGAATGTTCTATGCAAAAAATATTGCTTCATCCCAACTTCCATTCAAATCTGAAGCGAATTTCTACTTAACCCCCATTGACATTCGTTTTTAGCCTTGCTAACTGTAAATTCTTTCATTGTAGATTCCATCGAAAATATGGGTGGTGAATGGATCTTCAGTTTTAAAGACCACGAGACAGAATCAAATGGCGCATCAGCAACCAACATCCAACCTTTCAACGTCCAAGCGTATCAAGAGGAGCTGGTGGAATTAAGAAAAACTTATGAGAATCAACTTAATCCAAAATATGTCACTTGGTGTAAAAATGTACCCCCTGAGGACAACATATTTATTAAATTTCAGTTTACATGTAATAGACATTCACATTGGAATGAACCAGAACACCCATGGTTCGCATTTTACTGGACACCGACTGGTGGGGTGCACGGTAGTGTGCATGACCGTTGTGGAATAGATTTTTCCACAAATCAAAAACTCTTTGAGATGCAAAAACACATTGCAGAAAAATTCTCTGAGCATTTTCATTTGTACAGGGATTTTACAGACTCGAGAGAGTATGATAGTGATAAAGGAGGATGTATCGACTATGACGATTATTATAGTGACGACCAGGAATCCCTTCAAGATTTCACAGCATGTGACAAAGATGACTGCGGTTACTGCGGGCACTGTTTCTATTAACTACTGAAATTTAATTCATCCGAAAAAATGCCTTTGAAATTTAATGAAAATCTATTAGTTCATTATGCCACAAGTTAAGAAATACTTCTAATCTCTGTTTTTTTTCTTAAATAAAATAGAAAATTGTATCATAATATAAGTACGTTCACTGAATATTTCCAGTTTTCAACAATCAATACCCTAAGTCATTAATTGAAATTCTACTTGTATTTATAATTACATAATTTTGAATTAACAATATTGATATGATTAAAAATTAATTTTCCTATGTGAGTAATGACTTCTTATTTTCTATTAAAAATTTATAATAAGTTGTTACCAATAATGTGGGAGTGATAAATGGAACATTAGTGCGGGGGGAAACAAAGCTGCAGGAAATGCTGGATTGCAATTTAAACGCAGTGGGGGGTTTCTTTTTTCAATTGAAATTTCAAGCATTAAAATATTTAATAGGAATCAGGAAATTTAAACTCCTTGCTCACAAAAAAAGAACAAAAAGAATAAAAAAATAAAAATTGATGTCCATTCACGCTAGTAAAAAACTTAAGAATGGATATCAAATAAGTTTGGTTTTACACATATTTCCTCTCTTAATTGGAGGGTAAAACTCGGAGTTCAGGAAAAATAATTTCAAAGAAAAGCATGGGAAAAGTAATTTAGGGATCAATTTGACTCCAGTTGACTTCCATTTTTTCTGGCGAGCAGAAAATCTGAATTGATAGGGAGCTTAAGTGCTAATTTCTTACTTATAAATCAAATTTTGAAATTTTCACCATGTTCTGCTTGGAATTTTGAGGAGGAAACATTAACTGCGGAGTTTAATTTCCTGACCTGTCTTATGATATGCTGCCTAATCAGTGAACTTGTAACTCCTACCTTAAGCGTAAACTAATGCAGGGATGAGTGCCGCCGCCAAATATAGGCATGTCAGTTCCAAGAAGCATCTGAATATTCTCGAAAGTCCAAATTACATTCCTGGAAAAGTCATGGTTGGTTGATGGATCGGGGAGCTCTTCTTGTGGCTCAGGCAAATATGGATACTATAGAAAAAAATAAAGGGCAAGAAAAAGCAATCAATCAATTCAGGGTGTGCAATTATCTTCCAGGGAAGTTTCGTTTGAAATAACTCAACAGATTTTCTCTTCAAGGTCTAAACAACTAGATTAAATCATTGACACATTGACTGCCATATAGGGACCAGCAGTGACTGATCTTCTGTAAAAGTAAATTTTTTTTATAATCTTATAAAAATTGGCAGTAAGTTCTGAGGCACTGTGCCGTTTGGTTCTCTGTTCAAAAATAAAAAATGTGGGAAAAATGAGGCAACATTGAATGCAATTAGACTGAATCTAGTTTATTCGTCCCATTAGTAGGATATCCTACTTTATCATACTGACTCAAAAGAGAATAATAAATTCATTATCATTATGTGCTTAATTTTGATTTTTCTCTATGCAAGCGGTCCGACGCTTCAAAATAAGCAACGCAAATTCTATGTACACATGTGTCCATCTAATGTAATTAATTATTACATGGTTCTGTTTAGCATAATTAAGTCCAATCATGCAACCAAAATTTCTTACTATCCCCTTTTCTAAATCCTTGCTGTTTTACCACTTCTTCTGCAGTCCCTTTTCTTAAACCGTTTTCATCCTCAATACGTCATGGGTTTCATTCCTTCTTAAAAATGTAGCGTTAATCATCCCGCCAAGAACTAATTCATGAAATGCTGTGTTAGATTTTGTAAATTTGTTTTTTGAGTTATTTTCAGTTCGATGTCACTATTTTATATGGGCTCGCAAGCCTACCGTATTTTTATGAGTAGAATTTTGATGAGATTTATCTTTGTTAATCCTGTATCCTCCTCCCACAGGAATAAATAAGACTCACTTATTCATAACTTTTATTCCCTCGACAATCACCTTTGATAAAGAATACTCACATGAGAAGTGACTTGAGGCACATGGATTTTCTTCGCATCCTCTTCATTACTCTTGTTAGATGCTTCTGAATCTGTTCCTGTATCAGCTAAACTATAATGCAGGAATTTTGATACTAAACTCTTCTGTTGCAGATACTGTAAACTGGCATTTTTTGCAGGGATATGTTTATCCTAGAACCAGAAAACAGTTATTTTTGATAATACTTATTGGCATGATTGTGAAAATTACGCAAGACAATGACAGGACTAAGATCTGAAATTTAATAAATAACAGAGAATTTTGGATTAGCAGAGATTTGTAAAGTTTGCAAGAAAGCAGATAATACTGAAAGGGGAAAACAAATCTTAAAAATATTTTTAATCAATAATTCTTGACAGCAAAATAGTGCTATTGGTAAGAAATGGACCAGTAAAAGTAACGACGAAACTCCCGTTTTGAGTAGTTTACTCTATTCATGACAGTTATCTTGAATTTCAGGGTATATATTTTGCACAAATATGAAACTACAAAGGTTAATTTTGGGCTGAACCCTTTTCATACGACTCATATTTATAGTTTGTGAGACTGGACGAATCATACTAGCCTCAAATACTTGGATGATATCCGAACATATGAACAAAAGATGGGTTCTCTCCTGAGCTAAGTCTTAATTTTCTCACTGACTGTTTTGGTTTCCTTAATTAATTTCAATTTCTTATTTACCTTAAATTTAATAACTGCAAAGTGCTTGGTAAATTAGAGCTTGAAAAATAGGAGGGTGCCCGGATTTTTAGGAAAAGGAAGGGATCATGTTTTATTCCTATATACAGTAGTACCAATACATCAACACTCCCACATCAAAAGCTACTTTTCATTGCTTGCTAAAGAGTGCTTGTCTCCTGAACGCTGAGAAAATTGCTCCATGCTTTTTGTGTGAGTAACATTGCCAGTCACTGCACCTTAATTAAAACAATTCGGAAAAGGAAAAAAGAAAGAAAAGAAAATATAGATTGAGTATAAAGAGGGTGGTAAGAATCCAGTTCAAAAAACCTCTCGAAGTTGACAACTGATAAGGAAAAAATGATTTTGTGCCCAGCCATGTGAATTGTCCTTAAGTTTGAGAAGTTTCACCGCAATGGAATTGTAAAAACTCTTAGACTTTACTAAAACGGTGGGTGAGGAAAGAAGAAAAGAAAGGAGAGAGTGAAATAGAATTATTGCTAAGAGAGAAGGAGCAATATCAACTGATGGAAATGGGAAACCATTGTAAGAAGTCGAAAACGCTGTTAAACTGCAGCGAATATACAGTAGATATGCTTGGGTGAGAGGGAGGGAGCAGTACACACTTCGAGCAAGAGGGATAAACAAGCAGTCAGAAATTGTAAATGAGACCGTGACTTAACATAAGGATGGACTACAAGTTTTATTCTAACAGTGAGTAGCATACACAAATTCTTGTGCTTCTATCTGAAGAGAGATCTCTCTCCATGTACGAAGGAATGAATTTTGAGGGATTAGATATGCGTTTACACATAGCTGACAAGATATGGTAAAAAGGTAACTTTATAGGAGTGATTAGAAAAGAAAAAGATAAAAGTTAAAGGTATAACTAAATTTCCAATTTTAGGGTGTACCTTAGAGTTAAGAGAAGAGAGAATGTGCTCAAAAAAAAATTTCTTCAGCCACTCCCAGTTGTTTTCAGCTTGTTGAATTAAGTGTTTATGGATGTCAAATTCATCAATTAACAAGGTGTTTTCAACCCGATGAATCATCATGCTTACCTGCAAATGGAATCAAAAGATTTGGCATGACAGCTAGATGAACAATGAGAGAACATAATTTCAGTGTAATTACCATTCAAAGTTTTCTGCTGAAATTTTCCCTTGCTGTAGAGATGAAGTATAAGTTCTTTCAAATTTGCAGAGATTTTAAAACTTTGGAAAAAAAAGAGTTCCTTCATCTTTGACGACAGATCAATTGGAAACAGGGTATGTAACCTTTCGTAAAAGAATCAATCATGTCACAAACACCCAAAGGCCAAGGTGTTCTCTTACACTTACAATGTTCCTTCCAGAATGATTGGTTGTCAACCCCCTCTTCCTTGCCTTCCGCTCCTCCAGAACATTTAAGTACATTTCTTTTTTCAATTTAAGTAAATTAACCATCAAGAGAAATTATTAACAGTGGAGTCGACGCCAAGTAAACTTATGCACTTTAAGACCGCAATATCGTGTGAGGTCATTTGGCATTAACAATAAATGCAAGAATCAAGATAGCAGATCTTCTATCGCAGTCGAGAAGAACATTGACTCATCTGGCATGGACTCTACCTATTCACATCTCCTCACCAAAATTCATTATGTTTTTTACAGATAGGTCAAAATGATGAGAATGTTGACCTAGAATTTCAAGCAAAATGAAATTAACTATTTTACAAATATAGGCTAAGTGTGAAATTTTTACTTACAGGCTGACTACTGTAGGGAATCTTCAGTAATTTCTTGATGTTTTCTGCATCAGAGACAACATCCACTTCACCCATACAATCAGGAAACATGTGTGCCATTCGGAAACTAACAAGAAAATAATAAAAAAATTGGGTACTTAGCGCTAGATATTAGATAGAAGCCTTGAGTTTTACCTCCTCCGAATGGAGTTTCCATGCAAAGTTGAAATAATCAATTGGACTAAAATTTGCAAAAAGGAGATACCTAGTATTACTGGTTCATTTTAGAAATACTATATGCAACATTAGTTCTTGCATGCAGATAGGTGATTTGATGGGTAAGCCAAGAATTGTAGCTGCTGATTGCAAAATGTAGTCCAATTCACATTAAGTGAAAGATGTTTTAAAATTCAATACTCAATTTCCATTCTGAAATGGATTAAATAAACAAAACGAACAAGTCTATATTTCAACTATTTAAGCATTTACATTTTCAATGGAAAAATTGGAAATACTTAGTTAGAGAGTTAAAGTATGAACTCCTTAATGTAAATAAGTAAGGGCCAGAATAACCGACACACAGTGGATCGTGTCAATTGGAGAGGTCGGATATTTGACATTTTTGACTAAAACTGCAAATTTTTTTGTTAAATCCGTCACATTTTTCATTTCAAGGGGTGCTTACAGTAGAAAATTTCATGAGGAAACCAATGCATTTTCTTTTAGAACCTCAAAGTTTTGTATAAACGGAGTTATAAGCATTTAAAGTTTCCGAATTTTGTTTGACCTCACCTATTGCCTTGATCCATTGTGCGGCAAGGCGCTTTTTAGGGACCAAGGCAAATGGCATCTACTTAGAAGGTGGACCGTTGAGCTAAAACTTATTTTATCACATTTTTTTCGCAAGGCTCAACTGGTATCTGAAGAGCCATAACAGTAAGTTACAGGCCCGCCACATCCCATCTCGGGCCCTGGTACCAATTTTCTGGCCCGGGCCCCTAGCACAGGGGGGGGGGGGGGGGGGNAGTTAAGCCATTGAAGTCGAGGATGCCCAGAAAGGATCCTCTTAGCATCCGACAACGGAAGAAAAAGAAACACAGTTACTAAAAATAGCATTCTACATATACTCAAAATCTTGAAAATCTCTAAAAAAGTAAGAGAAATCTATAGTGCCCTAGCGTGTTTTTGAAACTTTATTCATCTTTTGCGGAATTTTTAGGGTAATTTTTTCACTTTTCCCTACGAGACAAGGGTTACACATGAATTCGTAGTGGTTTGTCACCTGCGTCACGGGCCCCTCCAGGGCCCGGGCCCCGGTACCAAGGACCCAGTATCCCCCCCCTTGTGGCGGGCCTGGTAAGTTATATCAACAAAAGTGGCAGACACTACATAGCACAGACTTTCAAGCATGGTTATGCCCCCACCTAGTTGATCTCTGTTGTTTCAATCTCCCACCAATAGGTAACTCTGATAGCTGCGCACATCCAAGTTATCGTCGATTCTTTCACAACCCAGTTGAACAGTGTAGACTGATTACTTACTGGGTGATTGTGTCCCTCCAACCCCCTGTTACCTCAAAGGATCGGGGTATTGGAGTGATCCAGTTATCCACAGGTGTGATGACGGATAATTGAGAGTCCGCAAAAATCAGTCACTTCTGGGGATTAAACCCAGGATCTCAGCTAGTACCAAACTGCCTTGACCACTACACCATTGAAGCTGAACACTTTATTGGAAACAAACACAGTTGTCTCATTGAATTTTTCTTCATTTTTGGTTAAGATAGAATTTTTTTCTTGAAATTTTGCATTCTGAATTCAAACGTCAGAAAGCTCAGCAGATGTAAGTTGCCGTGAGTGTACTTATATAATAATTGAGTACATAAAATCTGAAGGAAAATTTACCTGGAGAATCCAGTTGGATGTGGGAGTACATGTTGAAGTCCATAAGATTCGGCAGAGCTACTCAACCAATTGGAGGGTGGCAATTTCAAATCGGTGTTGCACTGGAGACGAGCAAAAGTGGCAGGTACTTGGACTTTTGAATACTTCACAACAGCTGTCGATTTGACGGAGGAATCTTTCTCTCCATTCACTGGGAGAGTATTTTCTACTGTCTCTTCCATTTTAGAGCTTTTCACATTCCAATTAAACCTGATGGAGGAAAAAAGAAACCTAATGAACTGGGATGAAGTGTACTTTCGTTGTAGAGAGCTGGATTGTAGTGCACCTTGCAGATTGAACAAATGTGACCAATCTTGCCAGAGGGATTTTAGTGTCTTCAAAAGAAGGTAGCATATTCATATACAGGGTGAACATAAAGATAAAAATCTTAGGGCTCTTATAATTTATTATTAAAAAAACCAAAGTTTAACTGCTTTTCTAAAAATCGCTTCCCGCTACTTCTGTTTGATAAGGGGTGGCTATTGTCATTTCTGACCATGTAAACTAGGGTTTCCTACTACAGATGTCATTAGTTACTTAAGTTAGTTTGCTCTACTCTGAACTTGTCCAGATAAACACAGTATTTCTTATCGTAAGTTATTGACTGATGTAAAATGACCAAGCCTAAGATTTTCTTGGTGTAGGAATTTCCAACCTAAGTACATTCAAGAAAAGGTGGACAAATCTTACAAGAAATCTGAAGCAAAAAAATAGTGACTGATCACCTTTAAAAAAAGGTGGATGCAACAGTAAATCTGCAGCAACGCGAATCAGGCTATTACTTTGCTTCAGCTATGAATACTCAACTTTTCAACAGAAGTTAAGACCAAAGTTTAAGGAGAAATTCAATTAAAATCCTTCAGAGGGGTGGTTCCGACAAAAAGTTGAACTTAAAGAAGAAAAGAAAAGGAATGAAAAATATTCACCAACTTCATTGAAATTAATATGTGATGTGTTTTTCGAGCAATACGCACACTAATGAATGGAATTCACGAAAACTTATGGTAAAAATGTGAGCAACTTACGATGTTGGAACGACTTGACAGTGGCTGAAGTTCTAGCTAAAAACTGCTCTACTAATGTACTTTTCGACGCTTAGAATCAATCAAAATACCTGTAAAAAGGTGTTAGAATGAGGAGGATGATTGTGCTATGATACCTGATGTAAATTATTGAATTTGAATAATTCCTAAAATATGGAATTGATTCACATGTAACAGCTAATGAGTATTTACTTGGTCTAAACCTTCACGAAATACTACGTGTGGAAATCACCAAAAAGTTAAAATTCGACGAAATTTACCTGAAGACTGCAGAGTTCTAGAATAGTTTATCACTGGTTTCGCACATTTGCACCAGCTTTTATTTACAAACTGACAAAGATTATCAGAAAAGGTACAGACACTCTCCTTCGTCGTCATGAATCAAAAACATAATCTTTGCAACACATCTGTGGCGAGGTGATGTGAGGGGAAGGGGAACTAAACAGAATAGAACTAAAATTGGTGCAATTATTTACTGTGTCAGCGGAAAATGTCGCATTTATTTTATTTAATTCTAAAGTAACCGTCGTATTTTTATCTTGTGATTTTAACTTCGGTTCATGGTGACCGCACATGCAGTTTCTCCAGTGAACATATCGGCTTTTTCATTTCCTGGTCATTTCATTATCCTTGTCAACCATGAGCAAGTACACCTATTCAACAGCAAATCCCTCGGACCGAGATCTCAAAGAACAAGGAAACAAACTATTTTCCTCACGGAAATATGACGAGGCCGTCAGTTGTTATTCTAAAGCAATCGTAAGTATTGTAAAATGCATTTAGGAATCATGACATCGCCGATTCCAGTCACTCAAGAGAGTGAAGGTTAGAGGGTTTCTCTCCTTTGTCCTGTTGTCATTCTGAATTAGACTCACTGATCTCCTGATGAACTGATCTCACCATTAAAATTGTCTGCTCAGTTCAGTTTCATTCACACATCAGAACCAAAAAATTATCTAAGCGTAGTTCTAATACTCTCATTGTTCGCCCTGTGAATGAAAGATGTGTCGGACTTAGATCGTTCACGCATGGGGCGTTCAGCTCCTCCTCTGGCTCAACCAGATGCATTTGTGCCAAAGTGCCCAAACCAGCAGTGCTTGTATAAGGCTGTAGGTCTCAAAACTGCCATGGAGCAAGGTTGGTTGTGCTAATTTTGTTGAATGACCACGATATGCCACATCGGTATACGGGAGAAGTGAATGGGTCGGTCAGAACGGCTGATATCCATTAAATTTAGGAAGTGATTTTGAAAACTGACGGCATGAAGAAATTATATGTTCTCATTTTGATGACAGTAGAAGCTGTGCCTCTCGCAGACGTATGATTCAATCTAGACCACACGCAAGTATGGCTCACTTGGTGTGACTACAGGCAGGCTTCCAGGATTACCTGTAGTACCAGAGAATTTGAAGAGCCAGGGACATTACCTGGCTAAATGGGTGATGAGCATGCATGCTAGTTGTCAGTGGCACATTGTACTATGTACACAAAAGATTTCAGCATTGCCTGTGAAGGTGCATTTATACCCTAGGCCCCAGGGGTGCAGAACCTTCCAAGAGCTTCCCCAAAATAAATTTAGGTTCCCTTATTTCAAGTTTTTGCCGAATTTTGCCTGACACATAAAGTAAATCGGTCGACAGTTCCCTCGAAAAAGCAAGCTTGAATGTTTTGTTCCCCACCTTCCAAAAAAAAAAAAAAAAAAACTCCCCCTCCTTACATGGTTCCCCAATTTTTCTCACCCTCACGTGGGTTTCTCCATTTCACGGGACCGGCCGGTCTTGTGGTACTGGATTTTCTGCACCCTGTTATACCCACCTAGTTATCTTACCTCTTCAACCTTAAACTCAAGCCTTATAAGCAGTCTTGGTTGTATCATTAGGCTATGGTGCTTCTCTCCTCATTCAGGAAGTAAACGATTGCAAAATTGCATGCTACAGTGCTAGAAATGATTGGAGAGACTAATGAAATCAATTTTAGGACTTAATATCTGTTACAATGCTGAAGCTATTAGGGTTTTGAATTGTTTAAAATCTTGACATTTTTCATCCTGAATGTACTCTTGCTGTAGACGCAGAGTACCCCCTCATTTTATAAATGATATATTAAATAACAAGCTATGTGCGGGGAAAATAACATACTTTCTGTGAATTTTCAAAACCTAATGACCTGTGACGAAAAAAATCTGTCTCAGATAAGCACCTGCTGTTTCCTTGTATTAATGCAGGGGTGTAGAAGTCCTAATGCACCGAAAATTCCCAGTAAAATTATGATTATTACTTACAGGGAATATGCTAGCCATAGTTGAGCACTGCTCGCTTTGTAGCCTTAATGATCCTGACTTGTTTTTGTGTTTCAGATCAAAAACCCATCTATTCCTACTTACTTCACAAACCGTGCTCTATGTTATCTAAAACTGAAACGCTACGATTTGACCTGCAATGACTGCAGAAGAGCTTTAGACATGGATCCTCATCTAGTTAAAGGTCACTTTTTCATGGGTCAAGCGCTTTTTGAATCTGAGTCCTATGATGAAGCTGTCAAACACCTACAACGAGGTAATCCTTCCTTCTGTCCCAAAATAATTTCTTGTTATCTAGTTTGCCAGGGGCCGAATTTTGTCGGCTTTTTCACACAGTGCAACATCCATTGATGAGTTCAAACCGCACCACCGGCCAATCAGAAGTGCTAAGCCGGACTTAAGTGCTGTCAAGACCCGTTCTAAGTATATTTAAGTACGCTGAAAGGACCGACAAAATTCAGCCCCATGTGTTTTCTTTTATTCAGGAGGAATGTTTGTTGGTTGTCTTGCAATAAAACATTTTGTCAGAAGAAAATATACCTAAAATGGAGTTTTGGTGTTTTTATTTCTGATAGCAGAGCTCTCCTCATGATTTATTTCCTTCAATCAAACATTTTGCAGTTGGATTGATTAAATTAGAGACAATGAAAAAAAGTAATAGCCAATATGCCGCTGCATGTGTTAGAATTTTCCTCTATAGGTGTACAAAGTAAAATAAATACACAATGCTCTGCTTGTAGGTTTGCAAAATTTAATTAAATATATCATGTGCTTAATTTGAGCTATATTATTTCCCTTTAGCTCTCTTCCATTCACTCTGCCTAAATTTTGAAGAAAGAAAAAATTGTAAGGAAAATGTAGTTGAGTTCTTATCTCAAATTATTTGGATTCTACTGCCATTTAAAACTGAAGAAATAATTTTATGAGGTTTAAGATTTTACTCCATGATGTTTGTTGTTTTTCTTCTTTGTTGATATTGAATAAAACTGTTTAATGCTTGATTTTGCAGCTTTAGATTTAGCAAAAGAACAAAAACTCAATTTCGGTGATGATATTGCTAGTTTACTAAGAGCTGCCCGCAAGAAAAGGTGGAACACTGCAGAAGAAAGACGAATCGCACAAGAAATAGAATTATTGGTAATCTAAATTTTTCATTATTTATGTAACCTGTTTTTTATTTTATTTATTCATTTTTTTACACTAGGTATTTTAGTAGCCCATGCACTTATGCTAATACCAATCTAGTTACACACGCAATTGAAACCCTTTGTTAATGAACTGGATCACTCACAACTGGACTTAATTTTGAAATAAAGAATGGGCTCATTTTTTTAGGAATAGCGTAAGAATGTGCCATCAGTTTTCCTATGCAGGTAGGTCTGGTAGGTGCCTCAGTAGATGAACCAGAAATAGTAGTACCTTATTGTAAAATGCAGTCCAACTTATTCTGTGGGATTCTACAGAATGTTCACTGTTGGAAACTCAAGTATCATTTTTAAACACAACAAAACCAAAGTTGCTCCTCTTATAAATTTTTCCCCTTGCATTAACGTGAATATGTTGTCATTGCAAACTTCATTGACTTCACCCTTTTATCTTATAATAATGAATAATCGTTTTTTCTCCTTTGTTTCTTTTCCAGACCTATTTAAATAGATTAATTGTCGAAGACACAGAAAAGAAAGTAGCAAAAGTTAAAATGGAAAGTGGAACTGGAGGTATGGATGAGCTGTCGATAGCGAAAATTAAGGAATATGAAAATAAAGGTGTCTCCTACTCTACAGAACTAAATAATTTATTTGCCAAAAATGATGAAAGGAGGAGGAAGCGAGATGTTCCAGATTATCTTTGTGGTAAAATTAGTTTTGAAATTTTGCGGGAGCCTGTTATAACTCCAAGTGGTATCACATATGAAAGAAAGGAAATTGAAGAACACTTACAGGTAAATTAACTTTCAAGGAAACAAGTAATCTCAATCCAAACTGTCATTAGTTTTTATAATCCAAGAGACTTTGGCTCAGCAGCACCATATTGAAAATTGTATTATTGAGTTTGCGATGGTAATGCATGTAATGTAGGACAGACTAGACAGAATTATCCCTGATAACAGATCATAAAAACTATATTGCAGTAACTTATTACATATACTTTTCATTAAGATCTGCCTTCTTAATTAGCTGTTCTACAACACCGTGACAAATCCTCAAACTACAGTTTACATAATTCTTCAGTCAACCGTACAAGTTCACCGGTCATTTTGTCTAGTGCAATGGTTGAGACATAAAATCAGAAAAATGTTCCTCTGTTACTTTCGCATTTTACTATCTATTTGATACTGCACAAATTAGGATCTTTGACAACACCTAGAAAGATTAGAGACAGTCTCATCCAATTGATGTGATCAACCTGGTCCGAAGAAAAGCTGTTGTAAATACCTGTGTAGTCAAGATTGTGATCAATTGACCACTAGACAGGATACAAATGTAAGCATTCTGATACATATTTCCTAATTCGACTGAATGTGAATGAAAGTCACTGAAATTATCTCCTTACTACGACATTTCACATTTTTCAATGCATAAATTCAAACCTCTCTCTCATGATGAAAAAAAAAAAAAAAAACATATGGAGTCAAATTGTGCACTAAATGTTCCTGTAACAGTCTCAGCTGTATGAAAATGTGACTTCTTCAATCTGAATGCTTAGGCTCAGTTGTTGCACTTTGTTAACATTTTGAGCAATACAAAACGAGAAAGGAACATATCTTTATTATGAAGCCTATCAAAACCGTTGTGAGGTGCGGTCTTGTTCAGGAAGACTGTTTCTTTTTTTTTCGAGGGGGTGGGGGGTCAAATTTCCTGAAACCAATGCAAACTGGAAACGTTATTTTAGTAGGAATTGATTTCAGTAATTTGCGTTGTGCGAATGGTGTTCCATGTGATTTTTGTCAAAGAATATGTATCAGAATGCTTAAATTAGCACCTCGTCCTAGTGGCCCATCAGTCCAATAGTATTACAACCGTACAGTCTAACAAAACATTAAGATCATTAATCATATCAAAGACTATTCTTGAACATGACTTTCTCCTTAATGGTGTGGCTCTTGAGTTGTGGCTCATGAACTTGTTCAATACTTTTATGTATTTATACTAACTGAGTCCATTCACATTATGCAGGTTTGAGATTAAATGCATGCATAATTGGAAGAGATAGGTAGCATCATCAAGCTAAGATGAGAAACATGAGAAAACCATCCAACAATTCATTAAAAACCTGAGCCAGTGAAGGGTTTTTCAACTCATCTCTTGATAGGCTTCTCTAGTCTAAATCTAATCCAGTACTTTTTTTTCCTCCTCTGATCTAGTCTTTCTGCAAATCCTTCTGCTCATTTTCTTCAAGGAGTATATGTATTTTAACATGAACCATTTGTATATATCATATTGATGATGGCTTTGACCAAAAAAATTAGTATTGTACTTAAGAAGAGCGTTCTTTATCACTTTACAATATTTTGCGAAATCAGAACGTAGAGCACCAACTACTAATCCAAATCTTGTGTTAATCCTTTAAAAGGACGATACATTTGGAAAGGGTCACATGAAAGTGTGAGGTACTTACTTATGAAGGATTGTATGAACCTTTGAGTGAGCAGCGACTATTGATTATTTTTCTCACAATTGCAGCAGTAAAAGACTTCAAGCTCAAATTCTTTTACACTGCCACAGAGTAGTCTAATATATTGTTGCCAGAAGGTGAAATAAGCAAAGAGGTGGCCCCATTTGGAAAAAGTAGTAAATCACCTTGGTTTGAACTACATCATGTTTTTTAAGGTTGAAAATTGCATCAAGTTTGAAATTCAAGTTGTTGATTGGTAGTAATTGGGTTTATTTCACCTCCTACCTTCATGCTATGTAATGAACTCACCTTTCTTCTTTTTCTATGGTCAAAGCTTTTCCTAAGTAAAAAATTGCAAATGATGGATAAACTATAAGAAACTATACTGTTTGTCAAATTAGATATTGTTTTATCTTTGATCATAAAGTTTGTGTTTGATATTGTTTTTTTCAGAGAGTAGGACATTTTGATCCAGTAACAAGAATTAAACTAACGCAAGATCAACTAATTCCTAATTTTGCAATGAAAGATGTTGTAGATACTTTTATTCAAGAAAACGAGTGGGCTCTGGATTACTAAAACCATCTCTATAATGCATCAAGGTAATCATTGTAAACAATTCAATTTTATGCTGCAACTATTTTTCACATTCAAAAGTGGAAAAGACTGTAAATCGTGAAAACTCGTGAAGGTAGTCCATTTGCTGATGGAGTATCTTAAATGACCACAGCTGGTAAATTCTGCCCGGGTCTCCAAGGTTTGAGGTCTGATATTTTTTCTTGGAGTTTTTTGTAAGTATGTATATTTTTTTTGTTAAATGCAAAGTCGCAAATGTATTTATTTATTTATTTTTTTTTTTTGTTATTATTGAGGCTCAAAATTAATATTATTTTGTGTCTTGAAGAAAACAATATTGTCTGAAACTCAATATTTGACCGACATATTGATGCGAAAGATGTACAGACAGCTGGCCCCATGCTGAAAGTCACCAAGAATTACACAGGGATGAGGAAGAACTTTCATTTTATCTCAAAATGATGCTTCTCATAAAAAATTCTCTTATCAAATTTTATTTTAATGATCAATCACTGGAACTAAATCTTTTCTCTCTTATTTTTCCAAAATAAATTTTATTTTCATTTTTTGCCTGATTACTCCATTTTAAAGCAGCTGGAGTTATTTAAGGTTGGGCTCCATCTCTTGTTTTTGTACATTATTTGAATGGAATCCAGGTTTCTAATTGGGCATATAAAGTCTCATGATACTGTGTGAACCTATAGTTTAGGTACTGGGTGAAAGAAAGGCTTTTCTTGGTTGCAGAATCTTTATTGCTAATTTAAATGCTTTAGGAATCTAATTAAGTTTTTCCTGAATTTTTTTTTTTTTTTTTTTTTTTTTTTTTTTTTTTCAGAGCATTGTAGAATCTTGAACACTATTCAATAACCAGGAGATATGCCCCCTGACTGCTACGCAAACCAACTCTTAAAACAATGCGCTTGGCATTTTGCGCTTTTTAAGTCGTGTTTTGCTTGCCCCCATGAGTTAATCTAAATTAAACGGGCTCATCTAAGGACTGTCTCCTATTGATAGCTGCATAAACCATGAAAATCGGTTTGGTAATCTTTAGAACAAACCGTGATAAAAAATGAAAATTTAAATGATCGAAATTGGAGAACTCACAACTCTATCACACAATATACAAAAACCTGGGTCATATTTCTAAAATCTGAATAGAACTAGCTCACCTAGGGACTTCTGCCTGTCAATAACCACAAAAATTGTAAAAATGGGTCCAGCACAAAGACATAAAGACGGAGCACTAAAAGCAAAAAATGAAGCTTCTAGAGCTTCTTTTCAATCACCTCTACTATTGGCTAGAGGATTGGCGGCGAAATCGAGACAAGTTTGAATTCAAATGTAGGGCGGGAACTAATAAATAAAATTGCGGAATCAAAGTATTTTAGGTTGATTTTTGCCCAAATTCAGGTACACACTCATATTTTTTTAACTTTAGGTTAGTTTCAGTCCGTCGTCGACCGATTAATTTCATTTGGGAGTAACGTTGATCTAGAACTGTAACGGCCTGTTAGAACCTGCAGAACCACCATGAGCAGAAGAAAAACTAACTTTATCTGAGATTACTGCCTGTTACCGAGCAAAAGTAGGTGTATTATACTAGGACGCAGACCGAACTTTCTTAGTATATTCGTTTTAGGAATTTAAAATACGTTTCAAAGAAGAAATGTGCAAAAATCAAGAGGACAAGTTCAAATCAAATTTCCGTTTGCCGCCATGGATTCCCGCGCTCATTTACACACTCACACAAGCGCGCAGCGCCGAACCTAGCTTCACTTTTTCCCCGTGCTTTTAGATACGAGCGCTCCGTCTTTATGTCTTTGGTCCAGCAGAACACTGGAATGAACTGTGATGAGAGCTTACAGTGATGAAATTTCAATATAATGCATACATATACTTGCTTTGAATGAAGAATTACCAGAGATTCTAAAATACTACAGCCAAAAAATGCCTCTCTTGCACCCAGCGTCTCAGTTGAAGGTATATTTTTATCAATTAATGTCAGAGCCACCCTCACAAATTCTAGAAATATGAAAAAAAAAGTATAATACATATTTAATGTACTGAATATCTTTTAAGTCTATGAAGCGCATACTTTTCAGAAGAACTGTAAATTTTTCTTGTAGCAAAAATTGATAGAGTATTGAATAGCTGTCTTCCTTGCTTTTCCCTAACTTGTGAAATAGACGTGCACATCAACTAAGAAGTAACATGTTCAATTGAGAAGTATAAATTCTGTTCATAGAGAAGATCATCAACGGGAAGTTTAATGTTTATTTGTAAGTAGATTCCATACGCTTAACATGATGTGATTCATGTAGTTATCCTATTTTCAGCCCATACATTGATGATTTGCCTTGAAACGCTGAAAGCAAACTTCGATTTAAAGACTTGTAGACAGGCTTTCTCTTTCTCCTCTGCAGGGGTCATCCAGAAAGTGAGTTTACCTTTTCAATATCTCCTGTATTGAGATAGATAGCGGAAATCTGTAAAAGGGTCATTCCATGTCAACTCAACCAGTGAATTTTCATGACCATCTTCGATTTTGATGAAACTTGGTGAGCATAATGATTCGTATGATGGTATGAAAATCCCAAAATTTCAGCTCTCTACGACCAATAGAACCGAAGTTACGGGGGTTCAAAGATGGCAAAAAAAACCCCGGGGCTGTGAACCCCTTGAATTTCAAAAAATCATAACTCGGGTTCTAATTAAGCTACAGGGCTCAGCTTGAGCTTGTTTTGAAGCTGTTTATCTGCTCTATTGAAAAATGAATAAATTATGTCATTTTTGAAAAAAGGGGTGCCTGTTCCCCCCAATTTAAACCTTTGGGGGGCTGTAGCAAAAAACACCCCCCCTTCGATTTTTGTCAAATTTTCATATTTTGTACAGCAGACCCTCAGGAAGGTTCTGTGAAATTTTCAAGTTGGAGACTTGATGGAAACTATTTTTTTCTCATTTTTGAATACAATTTTAGCTCATTTTCGGTGCATGCAAATGGGTAATTCCACGGATTTTTGATGGTTTGACCCCATATTTCTAGTTTAGCTTGCACTTAAATTGAGGAGAGGTTCTTTCACGACTATGCACAATTATGAGTGTTTGTTGTCTTATTATTCATGGGGAGGGAGGGGGATCTACATCCCCTTCCCTCCACCTGCCTAGAAAGGATCCTATCGTAGAGAAGAAAAAATGCAATCAGCTTTAATGTTGTTAGCTTTAATGCAAACCTCTCAGATAGACTGTTAAAGATTGAGTTTTCTCTTCAGTTTGAGGGAGGCATTGTCAGATTCTTGTTTTGATAGAGAATAAACTCGTCCAGTCTGTGTTGTTGGATCGACTGTCATTAGAACGTCTGAGATTGGCACTTCCAAAATGTCAGGTTTTGATGGATAATAGAAGGAAACATTTGGTCCGGATGGATGGAGGAATGTTAGTTTAACTTCATCGTTGACAGGGAAGGTTTGCAAAACGCAGGCTAGCCACCATTCAGATCCATACATGCAGACCACAAACCCCCTTATTTCGTCAATCCCCAGGGTTAGCTCTTCAGAATTTTCTCCGGTTATTGAAACTGTTCTTGCCTCCTCAGCGCGAGAAAACAATTTTGTCTGCAGAGTTGTGTTGCTGATAGGAATGAAAGCATGTAATTTTTGTGTGCCCGCAATTGTTTGACAAGAATTGAATTTTTCATGAAGGAGTTCGCAATGCATTTCATACTCTGAATTTAGAACATACTGAAAGTTCACGGCATGAATGTTAGTAGAAACCCAGTCGTACAATTGTCTGGGCGTCATTATTTGCTCATTATATGGACGTTGCAGGCTTGCACGAGCAGCGAGTCTTTTAACAGTGCCGCCTACACCGTCACATGCGTTTTTGCCATGAGAGGTGGCAAAATGATGCCATTCTGCCTCCACATTAAATTCTTCCGAGTGGGAACAAAGGCTGCTGTAATTTTTACGGTTTTTGTACTGACTTGCAGCACCATCAGAAAAATAGTATATCTTTTTGACATTATTAGGAAATTGAGCCTTTAAAAATGATATTAATTTTACCAGAAATAGATGCACGGAGACTGCGTCATGGCGTAGACAGTCAGAAATTATTATGTAGCTGATGTGCTGCAGCGTTTCTTCGTGACGATAGTATGCTACGAACGGATGTATGGTCGCCTGATCATTATTCCAATGGAAGCCTTGTATTTCATCTTGAAGAATAAAACTATAATTTTCAGCAAAATCTAATACCACTGCGTACTCTCCGTTTTCAAGCGTTTCTTTTTTTTCCTTGAAAAAGGCGGCCTGTTGAAAGGCTATGAATGAATGCGTAAGTAGGTTCCTCAAATTGTCAGCAAATGCTTCTAAAAAATCTGCAGAATTTTGAGTAACTTCCTCCAACTTTGCCCTGTCAGTTGTCACCCATTGCTGGTAGGATATCTCATCAATCTCATTTTCTTCAAAGGCTCTCTCTAAACTTTTCTTTAGCCCCTCTACACCGGGGCATTGCTCACATTCTTTAAAGAAGCACTGAATTCTGGGAGGATTGCAAGCTATTTTAGCAAGACAATGTTTATAAGACGTTAAAGGAACTTCAAAATTCTTTGTCAATTCAGCTAGTTTCCCACCATACATCATTAATTTCATATTTTGATGTTGGGCGCAGACGCAAACTGCATGGGAGTCACTCGAACCTGGAAGCACACAATTCTTCGGCCGGAGTGAGGAGAACTTTGAAAATCCAACTTTGATGCCTGGATTTTCGCCTTTAAACTGTGCATAAGCTTCTTTTAAATTACACAATATTAGTCTCTTTTGTACATGCACCCTTTTCCCATCTATTATAAGGGATTTAAAATCTTTCTTTCCGGGCATAACACGGCTTATTTCATCTGATTCAAAAATTTTTTTTATTTGTTCCTCTATTTCTGCCGATAGAATCCTGCCAATCTTTACGTTTGGAGTTGCTAAAATACCCTGTTCTGCCTGAAGCTTCTTCGCTAAACGAGCAGTGTAGTTGGTGGTGTTGAACGTTTTTTCAATTTTACTAACTGTCCAAGATTTCGGAAGAATAGTTAGAATTTGAAGTTTTTCACTTCTTGATTCAGATCCAGAAAATTGTTCTTTGAGTTGACTGATGATTTCACATTCAAATTGGTCTTCTTTAAGGCGTCAAAATGCGAAAAATTCACTTATTGTTGTCTGCATGTAACTTATTTCATAGTGAACACGGTCAGCCCTGCAATTTTTCAGCTGATAAATGTTCTTTCTTTTGTTTTACTTGAAATTCATCCATCGATAAGTCACTTACCTTGACAAGAATTAAATGCAGAAACTCATTTGTTAATGCTACTCCGTGTAATGAATCTATATGAAGAGGAAGTGGGTTCAGAAAAAACCTTTTTTAGTGTTCTATTGGACAAACTTTCAATTTTCATGGAGCATAAGAAAGTTTAAAGTAGTGGATTTTTAATGATTCTACTGATTTTTTTTTTTTTTAATATCTATTTTGTTAGTTTAGATATTGAATGAGTAAACTTACAGTCTGGATGACCCTCATACATGTATTTATGAAGTAAACGTGATTGAATATTTGGTGTAATAGCATAGGAATCACTGGGATTCATTCTATTCTATTCTATTCTATTCTATTCTATTCTATTAGCTAATTCAGGAAGATCAAATTTGATCTAATAAATGCGTGCGAATCTTAATTTTAACTTGTTAATCTTTGATGAAACATACGGACATTGTAGCTTTTTAGATATCTATGTCGAAGAAGAGAAAAAAAAATTCTATTTGTATTTCCTCTGGTTTGTAAGATTTTTAAAACTGCAAAGCGCACGAACAAGCATTTTAGTCAGTGAATGCTCAATCATTAATTAAGTGACCTAATTTTTCCTGTATTTTTTCTTGTCAACTTCAAATGTTCTTCATTATTCAGTCCTCATGCTCTTTTTCCTCTTTTTTAATATTCTGAAGGTGTACAAATTTTAATTGAAAATTTTGTTCACAAATTTTGCCCAAAAAGGCATGAGAGGCTTGACAAAAAGGTGTCAGAGGTTCTTGGATGATTAACGTTTCACTTTAAGTAATTCATCCTGCAGAAAAGTAAAAGTAAACCTACGTAAACTGTTTCTCTAGGCTAGGGGTAGGTCGATTGAAATGGGAGAGATTGAAAGCGGAAACTAGTACCCATTTTTGAAGAACGTCTGTCTGGTCAGGTGTATCTCTTTCTCCCAGGCTATGGATTTTTTGATGAAAAATGTGTCTCATCACCTTTGGTGCACCTTTTTAAGACTGAGCTCAATACATTAGAAGAGAATAAAAAAGTTTCCAACAAATTAATTTAAGATCTGTTTTGAATGTAAATTAAGTAAAAACCTTTCCCGAAAAAACTCAGTTTCGCTCTATAACAATGATGTGGAAACTGGATCTGCCATTAAGTATTGAAGAGAATTTCGAATTCAGATCTCTTTTTTTCGTGAAACAATTCCGGTCTGAGTAAATCAATCCTTGTATCTTTCAAATGTAGTTTTGAAGATCGGAATCTCGTTTTTTCTTTTCCTGCCAGTAGCTATTTTCTAGCCAACAGTTGATCACGAGACATCAGCGTAGCCTTTTTATCTGCTTGGTTTAGTGGCAGTTCCAGTGTTTCTTTCAGTAGATTGAGAAGATAATCTTATCGAAATAAGGTTCTATAGATTAAATAAAAAAGATTTATGTAGCAAATATGCTGTGTTCTACCAGACAAAGGAACTGAACTCCTTACCAAAGTTGCAAAATTGACTGATACAATATAATTTTCACTGAGTGTCACTCCATGCATCATCCAAAAGTTAGCTGACTCTTCCTAAACAAAAGGAAGAAATCAGCGAAATTATCAGTTAAAAATAGTGTAATTCCTTCGGAAAATACACTAAAATGCCCAACAGTATTCTAGTTCAAATATAACTCACAAGTAGAAATATTGCGAACATTGAAATGTAGTAATGCCCTTTTGTCCGGGTAATGAAAATGTTAAGGTGGGATCTCATTCAGCCCCATTCTCCTGCCCAGTGGAAGAAAATCATGTCCTCATTTTTTGCTTTAATGCAGCTGGTACAGATAATACTCAACAAGGCAGTCTCCTCCTTGAAAATGCTTTACTTTCTTTTGATTATAATCTAAGGAACATTGACTTTGATGAGGGTCAATGTCAATACTCATCGTGGAGGTTCTTTCCTTCCAACAAGAATGCCAAGGTACCTGCAGTATTTTGGTAACATTTAGGTCAATACAAATCAATCAGGAGCATTCTAGTGGAAATATTTACTTCACTCTCCCAAACTTACTATATCTCTCCTCAGGGATCATATTAACCGTCTATAATTAATCCTTTTCATAGGGAAAAACAATGCATATAATTTAGCTTTTGAAGCTAAAGGGCCTCTGTCGTACATATAAAAAGAAGTCGATGAGAATTCCATTTAAATTATTTTTTATAATTTTTTTAGGGTCGAAACTTGTTAATGTATTCAGAGAGATTTCCCTGTACATACCTGCATATTCGTGTATCATAGCATCTCTTCTTCCTTGTACATAACCACTGTAGGTGTTTAATTTTTTCTTGTCTTTTTCAAAGCCATCATCATCCCAGGAGTCGAATGATGACGCCTTCAAAATAATTTTAAGCCCCACCTATTAACCTTTCAGTCCCAGACAGTCTTTGTCAGTCCTGGATTGTTCTTTTTTCCCCCCTCCACCATCTTTTGTTAACAAATTATACGCGTCCATCAACTGGAAGCTTTTCAGTCAATCAAAGTTTTTTTTATTTTCAACTTCTCTCTTTTCACTCTCCTATGAGTTTAAAATGTTCTCTGTCAAACTTTTGGTTAACATTATTCTTTTCCGCTCCAGCATTTCAATTATTCTTGGTTACTGTACCATTAGTAGTCATACAATACAGTGAGTAACTGTGCATAAGTAGTTACATTGCTGTGCCAAGTGTGGAGCAGTCTATAACTGGGAGGTGCTTTGTCATCATGAAAAGAATACATGAAGGTAAAACCATTGTCAGAAATCTATAACATATTAACATTTTTGCCTCAACTCTCAGCCCTTCTTGGGATAAGGAGTGAGTTGGACGTATTTCTGCCAAACAGAATTATGTGCATCATGACGTGAACCCTGTTATGCATATATTCTAATGGGTCTCATGTCTTAATGCACCTAGTTCTGTTTGAGAGAAATATGTCCCGTTAATCAAGAGCCATGATAAGATCCTTGTCTCCTTGTTGCCACGCACTGTCATTTAATGCTAATTTAATTTAACTTTTAAAGACAGATTTTGTGTCACATAATCTGCATACAGTCCAGCACTATCTTTGCTGGAATTCATTGATGCTTTTATTAGAGAATTATATATTTAAAAAAAAAAAAAGGTATCCCCTGCTCCCAAAGAAAAGGTGAATTACTGAGTTTAGAAATTTCTTGTAGGTACCAACCGATGGGTTACGATTTAATAAACAGTTGACCATTTCCTGTTGATCGCTAAAACCTAAAATTGGTGACCAACCGGATTAAGAGACAAAATCGTGTACAACAGGCAATTGAAATTTGCTTTCCAGGGAAAATTGTCTAAATGTGATGTAGGTTTCATGTTCCTTTTCTTAATTTCTGAGCCCATCAAAATCTATAAGTTTATTTTATTGGTTCAAGTATCTACTTTATCCAGTTGCTATCAGTAAAGGGATAAAAGTGCACTTACAAGTCTTGAAATTACTTCTGGCGTTTTTTTTTTGTCAATAGGCAACATCACAAAATGAACTTAAAAACTATCAATCATTCTCTATGAAATGAAAATCATATAAATTTTCTAGAGCATTTATCTCTTTGCTCATAGGTCATCAAAACCATAGTTTTTGAACCTGTTAGTCTGTTAAACTTATTTCACCAACAATTTTGAAATGCAGAGATGAGTTTTCAATCATGTGGATAACAACCATTCAGTTGTATTTTGACCTTATCAGTGTTCTGTTTCTCTCTTCTTTTTCCTCCAACAAGTGTTATTTATGGTTAATTTCCTCGCATCAATACATTTTTAAAATTATTTTTTTACTCAAAGCTCTTGTGTTTTTTATTTGTCAACAGAATGATTCATTTTTTTATTACTTTATATCTTCCATGCAAATCATGCCTCAAAATTTTAACTCATTGTCAGTGTTCATGATCATACAGTTCGTAGCAAGAAGTCATTTCCTTCAAAATCAGGAGCTGAAGTGATGTTTTATCATTATAGAAAAGTATGGAAACCTCGAGTTTCATTACGGAAATAATCATATGCAACTATCCGTGGTAAAAGAGACCTTTAGACCTCAGAGAAAAAATTTTCAGTAGAGTAATTTTTGTCAAATTTGAAGCAAAAAAGGGGCCTTGAGATTTTAATGGAACAGTCCTTCTAGTGTCCTATAAAAAAAGTACATGTTTTACGTTGCATCATGAAGCCACTGATTTCGTGTCCTTAAGATGCAGGTTAGAATTTTAGGCAGAATTTTTCAAAACTCTCTTTGGACAGCAATCTTCAAAATCCCACAATTATGGTTTGGTTAGATTTTCTTCACTTATTTTTTTTTGCCCAATTATAAGTACCAAACACCTCTTTTTCAATCATACCAGCCAATATCAATAACTAAACTTTGAATTTTTGTGGGCCAAAGCCCTCTTTTCCCGTGGATAGTAGCATGTAGGTATCAAATAGAAAAAGAAGAAACAAAACTGTCTTTCAATCCCTCATTTATTTTTTTTTATTTTTTGCTCTGACATCCTACATTCTCAGCATTTAAAATGAAAATTGGAAGCATATAAAATTGATTTTTTCATCATATTTAGTCCTGTGATTATATTCTAGCCTCAATTTACACAGTGTACCTCTTAGAATGCACAGAGAGTACAAATAAAGCTTTATAAAAAAATAAGCGTTAAAAAAGATGGAACGGTAACAAGACAAATTTTTGCCAACCACAAAATATCGCACATCAAAGGCAAATATAATATTTATTGTACATTTCTCCTCAAAGCTTAAGGGTAATGTGTCGAAAGTATCGACTGTATAGAAAATTCATTAAAACTTAGCTCTCCCTCAAATTAAAACTTTTTTTAAAATTAAAACTACCTTGTAGATGTCACATATTTCAACTTCCTTCACTTTTCATTCCTCTTTTGTTATCCTTTTCACGAGTAATCTTTTTAATTGTCGCAAATTTTCAAAGTAATTTTTGATCCACTCAGGAGCTGTAATTGTATGAGCAAATTGGTGAAACTTTATTTTAAAAACTTGAGTTATTGATTTTATTTGTATGAAAGCAAACTTATCAATCTTCGTCAGATTTGAGGAAGGACTCAGGTAAGGAAAGTACAGTATAAAATTTCTCTGCAGTCGGACACTTAAAAAAATATGTAGTTTTTCCTTGGTAAATTTGCGTTTATCATTTGAAAATGTGAAGCGCTTGAAGTACCAATGATTTTGAATTCGCAATCTATCATTTTATCGGAACATTAATTTGTGATGCCAAGTAGGTACTTTGACAAAATTCCATAATTTCGAGTATACTGTAAACTTCTGTGTATCAACAGTTTCTAAACGTGTGCAAGATAGTAAAAAATATTTTAGTGGTGAACCCAGGAAAACTTGCGGCTTGATATTGCACTTCTTCAGTATATTGTTGTCCAATTTCAGTTTCAAGTGGACGAACTATTGAGTCTTGTCCACTAACTTTTTCTTCTTGCTTCCTTCATTTATTTTCTTTCTTTACCCAGCATAAGTATGTGCAAAAATTTTCTCATAAATTGAGTTGATTTTAAGTAAGAGAAGTACAATTTGAATAGAAAATTTAAAAACTAAAAAATTAAAAACATCACCATGGAGATAGGTACCTATTTTTCCAATTTTATCATGGATTCATAGATCTAAAAAGCAGAAAACTGATAGGGTAAGTTGAAAATGACAGCTTCATACCGCAGCCCAAGAGAAAATTAAAGTTTACTTGTAGAAAAATTAACTTAAATGGCCAAAATTTCATACCCCTCGTAGGAACGAATTAAATTCTGTCTCCTGAACAAGCAATATTACAAAAACAAAACAAAACAAAAAAAAGGAGGGAAGAATGTTTAAAATTAAATTATATTCTAATAGCTTCTTGTTAGGTGACGATCAACAAAAAATTACATATCTACGGACTAAGCAATTTGAATACATTTTTTTATGGTACTTAAACACTTTGTATACAAGTACGGTATTAAAAAAGTCAATTTCCCAAAGAGACTATAATTAAATACAATATTACAAAATAAATTAAACATTTTTTAACTTTGCATTATCACCTCATTCTTCAAAGTCTAATTGCAACTGCCTATCTCGTACCAATTAGTCAACATACCCTTATCCCGGTAGCAAGATAAGTGTGTACATATAATCATGTGCATACAGAAATGAAACGATTTAAGTACTAGATTCTCTCCTGACACTCAATACTTAAGTTTGCAGAAGCCGCTGCAAATACACTTTTCTTCTGGAAATTCTGTCCCTTAGGATTTTTTGTTCTTTTCCCATTAAGTAGGTACCTACGAATCCTTTTTAAACATTTAAAAAACAAAAGCAAACATAAAGGATGTAAAAGAGAGTTCGCACATTATTGTGCTGTATCTAGAATATGTTTGTAAGTAGAAAAAATGAAAATGCATTGTCTGGTAATTATCTTGTACCTATCACCGTGCAGGGTTTAACATTACCCACTTACTCTTCAAAAGCTATTTTTGAGAAATCAGTTAATGCAGATGGATTTTAAATTGTTTCCTGAATTCTATCAAAGAGGTTCGTCCGTCTCAGTTTACAAGTAGGTATATCATATCCTTAGAATATATTTTTTTTATTTTTTTTTAATACATCTTAAAATATTCTTTCTATATATTTCTTCCTAGAAGAATCTCAAAAGTATCATTTTTTTAACTTGCAATTTTAGGAATTCAGGACCTCCCTTGATGAGAGCTTGCAGAATAAAATTCATCATTTACTTTTTCATGTTTTGTAAGGGGTCCGAGGAGTTGGGTGGTCATTGCCGTGTAATAGGTGAAGTTGACGAAAAGGGGTACGAGGAGGGGAGGGGTAGTCGACACCACCCTCCCGAGACTTTTAAAACGCTTAAGAAGGTACCTAAAACGGATTCGCATTATGAAGGAAAAAGCAGTCATCAATAAGTTCCCAGAATTTTCAAGAAAAATTGAGCTGTAAAATTTTGTTAAAACAGGATGGAAGTAATAAGTATGTATGAATTTTTTTCGGTTTTTTTTCAAATTCTTTAACTGGTCATGAGAATGTGGGTTTCTGAAAAATCAAAAAGCCACAATGGAACTCTTCGCCTCTCGGGACAGTGCCCGACCTATGAAAGCGACGATGTTTACGGCCAATCAGCCGCAATAGATCATTTGACAAATTCAGAAACCAAGCATCACAGAGTCGCATTTCCAAATATATTTTCATTCAAATTTTACGTAGAATATGGCGGATTTCTCACGTTCAATAATTCAAACTTCCCGCCCGCTAAAAAAAACCAAAATCCACTTGAGTCAAATCTGGACTTCGCGCTTTACAGCTGCACGATAAACAATGCTTTTTCTCTGGGTGCTGAATCGTTTTTCACAAGTTCGCAAGCGTTCCATACCTACTACTTATAGAACTTAAAACAAAGGAAAAAGGTCAAGCTAATTGCCGAAGATGAAAAATTTGATGAAACTTTACACTTATAAATGTTTTATACAATTCTTTCGACTTTTTAAGTAGACTTAGCTGGAGCAGGCTACAAAGTGCTCAGAAATCATGAAAACTTGATTTTGAATTTCCCGGAGAGAAAAATGATCATAAGTCGAACTTCCAAGTCCCTTATCGAATAAGTCTCAGTCATTGGTTGCGGGTTGAATAAGTACACAGGTACATTAGATTCTGAAAATTCTGCAAAATGTTGTGAAGCTCTCACGGTGAAACGAAACTTCACGTCGATATTCTTTCTTTTTATCTTCTCCAACGGGCGGAAATTTTGAATTTACTAATCTTCATATGAAAACCATAAATACCGATATGCGTTACCTGGATAAGCACGAGTTGATCTTGGACATTTTTTATGCGTCCACACGAACTTTCGATGAAGGAACATCTTGCTATGCGTCGAGGTGCATTGATAGTACCTAAGCAGTGCACCACGCCACGGTATCCGCTAGTATCTGTTGCGATATATCTTCTCGGCGACTGTCGAAATTAACGTTACAAAAACGTCGATGCAACGTTAAGTTTGACGGTAACACTTCAAAAAATGTTACTACCAGGTCTTTCATGCCTGGCGGAGACGCTTTACACTGAGCGTGTTTCATCCATGCTCAATATTCTAGGCAGTTTTTTTTTTCGGAGTCTCGTCGCTGGGGCCATCGTTACGTGGAAGGCTTGCTCTGCAACGAGTCCGGACTTAAAACTAGTTCATTGGTCGTTTTATCACTAAAATTAAAACACACAGTTTTTTGACTAGAGTTTATTTTGACGGAGGACGCGAGAGAGGAGGACTCGGAGGAGGACGGCTCGGAGAGAGGGTCCATCTCGGGAGGTCGGGAGGAGGAAGGCTCTTGAGGCTTGGCAGGCGGCGGGGATCGGAGTGGCTCGTCGGGGTCGGGATCCGCGTCCGGGAGGAGGTGGTTGCAGTCCTCGCAGGAGCTGCTCAGGTTGTGCCCGTAGTAGAGGTTGTCCGAGCTCAGCTCAGCGTTGGAGAGCTCTTGGTCGTCCTCGTCCGGGAACGTGAGCGTCGACTTGAGCCGCGCCAGCTCCCGCTTGTCCTCTTGCACGAGCAACAGCGTCGAGACGTTCTGAGCCGTCTCCAAGTTGGAGCTACAGGATTTGATGATGAGGTTCTCGTAGCTCGAGTTCAGGCTATGCGGGTCGTCCTCGAACCTCCCGCCCTTGTCGTGGACGCTGTCCGAGGAGGAGGCGTTGAGGATGTTGATGTGGGGGACGCAGAGCGACTGGTCGGAGGCCCGCTTGCCCTGAGGCTTGATGAGGCTCCGTTTCTCGTGGGAGGTGTCGCGGAGGAGGATGAACTGCTCGGGGTGCTTGTCGAGGACGGCGAAGGGGAGGTACTTGTAGTAGTCGGTCTGCTTGTCGGCCGGGAAGGCGTGGCGGTTGAGGGTGTGCCCGGGGCCCATCTCCAGGCCGCCCGGCCCGCGGGGCCCGCGGCCGAGCTTGAGCTTCTTGGGGCCTCTGAGGCAGGAGCGGAAGCAGCGCGACGGGCAGAGGCAGAGGAGGATGCGGATGAGGCAGCAGAAGAGCCCGCTGCAGATGAGCGTGGGCCCGATGAGTCGGAGTTCGAGCGTCTTGAAGCCCTTCTCGCCGGTGCCGACGAAGCCGATGACCAGGCCGATGGCCACCGTGAAGAGGCCCACGTAGAGGAGCATGTTGGCCGCGGAGCTCTGCTGACCAGCCGCCCCCGGCCCATGACCCGGGAGTTCATCTTCGTCCGAGCTGCTGCCCCCGTACGATGAGTCCTGGATCTGTCAACAGAGAATGATCTAAGTCAGTCCTTCAACTGGCAAAAAATCCCGATTTCATTTAAGGGGCTTGGAGGACAAGGCGCATATATAAGTGCAGATTTTGCTAATTTAACGTGTTTCCCGAGTAGCACGGATTGCAATAAGTAGCAATTACATAGTACAAATATTGCAATTCAACTGAGTGTTGTGTATGTTGCCTGGCTCCTATTTGAAGGGGCCCCATTTATTGAAACTTGAGACTTATTGTAATAAAATTGAAATAAGTTACAATTTTTCATCGCATTGCATGTTGCCTATCTTTCTGGAGCTCATTTTTTTGATTGTTTAAAGTCGGCATAGATCGAAATAAACGATGTAAAAATACTGCAATTTAATGGTAGAAAAATTACGATTGTAGGTATTGAAATCAAATTGCATTTTAATTTCAATATTTTCGTTGCATTGTGCTACTTGGATTGAAGTTTTGAAATTACACGCAGGGTCGGACTGGCTCACATCTCAGGGCGTAGACCCTTAGCCAGCTGAAGGGGCGTGAGGTGATATTTTGCGCCCCCCCCCCCCCCGACGTGAACGGCGGTCCAGAAATCTCTGGCAAATCAGCACAATTTTACGCTATTTTCAGGCTCGAAGTTTATTAAGCAATCGCAGGGAGCAAAAATTGCAAAATTGAACACTTTTAAGTAACCGGGAGACTTGTGAAATGAAAAAAAAAATATATACAATTATCAAAGCTAGGTACCAGACGCTTTCATGCATCATTCTTTCCAGAAGAATCGAGCCAGAGCTTGTAACCTGTATTTCTGCTTTTAAAAACAAAAAGTCAGAAAATGACGCATCATTTTCGGGTTTTCGGGTTCATGAACCCGAAAATATGTAGGTACGCCAAAAAGATTTTTTTGACCTCATGGAAAAAGGAACATTCAATCTAGAAAGTAGGTACAAGATGAAATGTCATTGGCGAAATCAGCATGAACCAAACCTCAAATTGAAATTAAGAAAAAATTGAGGAATAACGGAGTCGAGACGTGATCGTGCATTTTAAATTTTTCTCTCGAATCTGAGCGACACATCACTGGCAGCATAGAAAGGAGCATTGCGGGTTCACTCTCTCGGCCTCGGCATGTGCACATATTAGCGCGTACATGACTCCATGAATACTTCATGCATAGCGTCAAACACAGTGCGGTCAGCAGCTGTCGGTGTCGGCGCGCGGCGCGGCGTGAAACGCATGGCGCCTACAAGACTGGAGGAATACTTCACGCATTGCGTCAAACACGATGCGTTCAGCAGCGGTCGGTGTCGGCGCGCGGCGCGGCGGGAAACGCATAGCGCCTACAAGACTGGAGGAATACTTCGCGCATTGCGCCAAACGCACTGCGATCAGCGCGACGCGGCGCGGCAGTGGAAGTTAAACTTATTAAACCACATTTATCTTTGCTCTTTCATAATTTTTTCGTTTAGTTCTTCTAAATGGAGGGCCTTGTATAGTTTACTTTTGTAGGCCTCGCTAGTTTTCTAAGGAAAAATTAAAGATAATCGGAGGTTTGAAACGTTGCAACGTAGGAGCACAGTTTTTGATTTTAGCCAGCACTGAGGCTGTTCTGCGAGTAAACACGGAAGAAAGAAGGATAAATGGACATCTTTTAAGTTGAGATGGCGAGCGCAGCACTGTTTGTGTCTCGTATAATAAAATTGAACGGAGATACCTAAATCGGATCAACGGTAGACCGAGACGACTCAAATAATTCCTTCGAACGCAACTGTTAGTTTCAAGATACGGCATCTTAGAAGCAGCAGCGGCAGCGGCCGTCACAAACAGACATGGTTTTTGCGAATACTACTAAACCTCCGCGTGCCGCGCCCTCGTCTCGATAATATGATCCGTGTTGAGCTTTTCTGAGTTGCCGTGCCGCGGTACGCGTCTGAGGCTTTAAGCCATTCTTTGTATACCGCCGAGTGATCCGTGGGCCAATAAATGACTTAGTTAGACAAAACTATACAGGGTGTCCCAAAAGTCCGTACCCCCCCACGTAACATTTGAACGGTTAGAGATAGAAAAACGAAACTTTGGGAATGCTTCTATCTGAAAGGGGTCCATCTTATAAGGGGGTCAAAATTTTTGTCTCCCCCTCAGGGGGGGCGCGGGGGCCCCCAACTTTTTTTTTTCAAATGGTAACCCCTATCTTGTGATACATCATTAGAAAGAGCATAAAAAACTAAGAATTTTGGCGCAAACCGCAAATCAATATCTTAATTTTTGACCGAAATATGATAGGTCAAAGGTCAAATTTGACCTATTTTCAAAAAATTATATCTCCGGTTCAAATCATCGTAAAGAAAAAAATAAAACGGGAAAATTTACCAAATTGTAAGCACTTTCAAGTAAAAATCACAGAAACTAATTCAAACTAATTTTAAGGGGGGTTTCGGACCCCCAAATACGTCATTTTAAAGGTCATACGATATTCTCGCGAAATGAGCCAATTTCCCCTTACTTTTCCTCAACATTATCTTAGTAAGTTCAAAATTAGTTCAACATTGCGTTTTCAAGTCCCCAAATTTCGAACAAAGTTTTTAAAAAAAATGAAATTTAAATGGTTGAATTGAATCACCTTAAATTTCGTTTTTTGAACTTTGCTCGAAATTTGGGGACTTGAAAACGCAATGTTGAACTAATTTTGAACTTACTAAGATAATGTTGAGGAAAAGTAAGGAGAAATTGGCTCATTTCGCGAGAATATCGTATGACCTTTAAAATGACTTATTTGAGGGTCCGAAACCCCCCTTAAAATTAGTTTGAATTAATTTCTGTGATTTTTACTTGAAAGTGCTTACAATTTGGTAAATTTTCCCGTTTTATTTTTTTCTTTACGATGATTTGAACCGGAGATATAATTTTTTGAAAATAGGTCAAATTTGACCTTTGACCTATCATATTTCGGTCAAAAATTAAGATATTGATTTGCGGTTTGCGCCAAAATTCTTAGTTTTTTATGCTCTTTCTAATGATGTATCACAAGATAGGGGTTACCATTTGAAAAAAAAAAGTTGGGGGCCCCCGCGCCCCCCCCCCCTGAGGGGGGGACAAAAATTTTGACCCCCTTAGAAGATGGACCCCTTTAAGATAGAAGCATTCCCAAAGTTTCGTTTTTCTATCTCTAACCGTTCAAAAGTTACGAGGGGGGGTACGGACTTTTGGGACACCCTGTACATACGGAGGTAAAATGGAGTGAACCTACCCAAAATGCATTTTTCGACGGAAAAATCGTGCTAAAAGCTCTCTTGGGCTATGCATTTCTCACTTTTGGAGTTTGCGCTTACTTTTGAGTGCCCTTCACCTTCTGACAACAATAAACGTTGCACATTCGGATAAAAAGTGAGCTCCATAGTTCATTTTTCACATGGTAATTTCGCAGACTAATTTAAGCGAAATGAATAATTTTTTTTTTATTATTATTATTATTTTTTAAATGTATTCAACTTTTCTTTCTGTGCTATTTTTCAAATTATTAGCACTCGGAAAATATTTGTCTTTGCATAGAGGATAGGGGTAACAGTGTTTTCTCCCTTGCTCAAATAAATGCCACGCCAATTGCATGGGTATAGATAGATCCCTTTATGATAAGGTAGGTAACCTTTTTCATTTGCTGACGAAAATTCCATAACTGGTTGGCACATGCGCAAGCATATGAAGAGGGTGAACCTATACCTGAAACAGGGTCTAGCTGGGACACAAGATAACTAAACCCACGATGGGCTCAAAATTCTCTCAGCAAAGGCTCCTTCAATTTTCATCGCTGCAACCAGCCGAGCTTAGAGAGCAAGCTGGCCGGCACAGTGGGAGAGGCTAATCAAGCCACAGGTGGCGCGCTTCAGCACGGTAGCGCAGTGTTGCGGTTTTGCGTAAAATTAACAGTTTTAAGTTCCATTGAATTCTGATTGAATGCAAATCACCTGAAGGACACCACGATGCTTGCTGTTCATGCAAAATTCATTATTGAATCGAAAACTGAGACTGAAAATTTAACACTAAAGTTCAATTGTTTGAATAATTAGGCTTAATTATAGGCAAATTGGACGTATATCTACCAAACGGAACTATGTGTATTATGACGCGAGCCCTGTGATACATATATTCTTATGGGTCTCAGAGCTCATGTCTTAATGCACATAGCTCCGTTTGGCAGAAATACGTCCAATTCATTCTAAACGTAAATGTGACCGTTCATGAGTAAAGGAATCGTTCAAGTATTGCGTCGGCCTAAATGCCTCATGGAGCACTTGAGCGGCCCCATAGTCACAAAAACTATGAAATAAGTCAATATAACCCGAGCATAGAGGACTGGTGTAGGATCATCTATAGGGCAAAAATGCCCAATGATGTTTAATTTAAACCAAATCGGCCTTGCGGCGACCTAAAGTTTGGAGTTTTGATATGGAGCAGTTTCGAGGAACAGCTATTTAAATAGTAATACATGACGGATTCTCGACTATTCGCGGTGATTCGGACCGGATTTACCGCGGATAATCGAAAATCGCGGATAATCCAAAATCACGGATAATTCAAAATCGCGGATAATCCAAAATCGCGGATAATCCAAAATCGCGGATAATCCAAAATCGCGGATAATCCAAAATCGCGGATAATTCAAAATCACGGATAATTCAAAATCGCGGATAATCCAAAATCGCGGATAATTCAAAATCGCGGATAGTCCAAAATCGCGGATACTAAAAAATCGCGGATATTTCAAAATCGCGGATACTCCAAAATCGCGGATAGTAAAACACTAAGCTATTGCGGGAAAAGTTAGCGAGAACTCTGTATTTTAAAATACTCTATTATTAAAGGCATTAAATATTGGACGGGAATGTAATTTCTGGTTAAAAATTAATACATTTTACATGAAAAAAGGTTATTTTGGCAACCGTGCGTTGCTTCATTTACTTTATCATTTTTAGTGTTTCAGGAGTATTTTAGGGATAAGTACTGAACTGTC